GGAAGAGATGCACGAAAGTCTTTTTGTAACCAACTGATACACTTTCTACAGCATGTAAAGAAGGATTGTGTTTGTTTTTTAAAAAAATTAAAAAAGAAATGCAGGAGCAAAGCAAAAGCCTCCTTAGAACAAGAGCCATGATGCACACTGTAGAACAGGGGTGGGCAATTAATTTTCTCTAAGGGCGATATGAGGAACTGGGCATTGTGGAGGGCTGCTGCCCTGTCCCCCTGCTGCCTGAAGTGGCCCGCAGGCTGTAAAATGCACTAGAAAAAACGGAGGAAATGTAGCTATAATGCATGAATTGTAAGTCAGTGGAAGAACACATGGAAGACAATGATTTACCAACAGATTTCATCCGCACAGTTGTGACGGAGTACAGAAAACACAATGTGAAATGAATGCAATTCACAGTTGGGAAAGAAGTACAATTTTCATCTCATTTCCTACAGTCTTTATAGCACATTCAGTCCACCTGCAGTAGTCAATTCTGTTACCAGTGGGAGACATTCAGGCAATGCTGCCATCTTTATTTATCTTTACTTTTTAGTTAGGGATTTCATATCCTATCATTGAGTTAACTGGTTCCGACATCTCTACAAGCAATATGTAAATTAACCAGTAACAAACAGAAGAATAAAAACAACAGCCATCATGGGGACAAGAGTAACATCAACTTCAGATATTTCAAAAAATTTTTGAAGACTAGAGAGGCTTTGCTGCTTTCTGGAAGGGACATAACAAGAGATTTTGGGAAAATCTCCTGGTCACCAATTACCACTTGCTGACCTCCAAAAGGAGAAACAATTACAAAAGGGCCTTGTGATGGTCTCTTAAATCTATGTAAAATGGACCTAAACCTTTTATTTAATAATACTTTGTCTTTGAAGTAGTAATCCAGGGTGGATTTGTTAATAATCAGAGAGTAGAACTTTCACATGTACATGTGTTTGAAACACATTAAAAGGTTAGTGTTAAATATAATTTTTCTTTTTCCCCTCTTTTTTTTCCTAATGTCTTCCTGCAGGGCCCACTTTTTTGGTTCAATCAAGTATTGATCCAAAATTGACCAAACGGCTTGTTGCCAGAGCCTGACATTGTAGGCCAGAGAAAATAAATGGTTCAAAGTCACAGATGGCTTTTATGTCTAAAGATGGGACTAGAACTCACTGTCTCCTGGCCACTGGCTCAAAGTCACCTAGCCAGCTTTCACACCTAAAGCGGGGCTAGCATTCATAATCTCCTGATTTCTAGCCTGGTGCTTTAACAGAGCAAGCTGGCTCTCTAAGTAGAGGCTTTAGCATGCCACAATTTTTCAGTGAATGGGAAGGAAGAATGAAAAACCTGAGGAACGGTCTCAAGCAATCCTGAGGTATGTAACATAACGAATACCACTTTTCTTATAAATTTTTGAGAGAATTACATAGAAAAATAATACACCTTGTAGATTAGCTGAGAATAGTAATCAGATACCCCATCAAGCGTAGCACTACCGAAAGTTCCCACAAGTCGACTTCCACTACTCTGACGACTGCTACCATATGGGAGGAAGTGGGCGAAGCTCATTCCAATCATTGGCTCCATTAAAGGCAGCAAGGAGAGTTGCTGGGGAAAGATGCATAATTGATCACAATTGATAAATTACAATAAAAAGATTGCTACTTTTATAAGCTTAATACAAGCATTTCAAAGTTTTTCTTGTACTACGCAAAATTCTAATTTTTATACATTGTTCTAAACAAAATAAATACTTTTGCTAGAAATAATGACTCCCAAATGCAGCAACTGTCATGGAAGACTTGGTCTTAATACCATATTTACAGGATTCAGAATGTTCTCAATGAAAATGTATCAATGAAGATCCTTTCATTGTCGTCGTCATTCTATCAAGACTCATCTCCAGATTACAGTTTTGTTCTAAACTGTCAAGAGTTTTATGGCTGCTATTGTAAAAACTTAACAATAACAAAAAGCTGCTTTAATCTTTTCTCCAAACAAACTTTTTTCTTCATCAGTATATTCTTTATTCCATTTCTCTTTTGTGTCATATCTCTCAGCAGCAAGGACTTTTATTAGAGCAGTGATTGAGTATATCACTGGAAAAAATGATAGGTCAGGATAGGAGCAGATCATCCTGAAAAAGTTCTATCTCTGTGTCTATGAAGATTCTCAGGCATGCAGGTCATTGTTGTCCTAAAGGTGCTTTTCCAAGAGGCAACTGGACTTTCTTTGCTTTTTCTTAAAGACGTTTCGTTTCTCATCCAAGAAACACAATTGTTTCAGAACAAAAGATGTTTTTTGAATGAGAAGTGAAATATTTTCAAGGAAAAACAAAGAAAGTCCAGTTGCCTCTTGAAAAAAAGCACCTTTGGACTTCCATCTCTGTGGTTATTAAGAGTCACCATCAACTTGATTACATGATGGCATGCAATCAATCAATCCAATAAAAACTGGTCTATTAGAAGGCTCACAAAGGAGAAAACTATTTTCTGGAATATTTTATAATAAATGCAAGAAGTGGGTAAGAATCAAATGAAACTTAGAAATGTTCAAACCTACTGCATTACTACATGTATAACAGCTTTGAATAAGGAAACATGGTAAAAATAGAAGACAGATACCTAAAAAACCAAATGTAAGATGAAATTTTCAAAGCCTCTTTTCTACCTCTTCCAAAACTTTTCATTATGGATTATACTTTTCAGTGCTCACCTGTTTCAACTGCATGAAGGTTTCTGTGTTAGGAAAAACCGTCTGTTTTTCTTCCTCCTCTTTTTTTTTCCTTTTAGGCCGAGATGTTGCTTTTTCACCTGTCCTCTGAGTTCGTTTGTTTCTCTGTTTCTTCATTTCTTGTCCTAAATCTGATCTCTGAACTTGGCTATTACCACAACTTAATGAGCCTTGCAATGGGTTCCCTAATGGCTGGTTAAGGAAAAAGCAAATATAGCGTATCATATCACTTTAATAAAAGTCCTAAATGTTCAAAACTCAGATCCTATAAACACTAAACACTGAATTTCATAGTGAAACTATCTACCTACCTTCCTACCTCCCACCCAGGTCATCTAGTGATATGATCAAATAGATAAATATCAATGGACATATTGTTTAACTGCATCCTCATTTCCCTTAACCAAATTCAAAACCAGCTGTAAAAATTGAAAGAAGGAGAACCAAGCACCCCCAATTTCATGAAAGAATCAGTGTTGGATTGAGGCTGAGCCTCAGAAGTCACAGCAAGTAGCACAAGTCTTTCCCCATTACTGTCATGATTGGAAGATGGCCATTGGCCAGAGACATTGCAATGTTGGAGAGGAAAGCACCTGTTTTAGCAAAGGCAGATAGTCCTCACTAAGCAACCCCAATCGAAGCTGAAAACTCAGATGTTGAGCAACATGGTCACTAATTGAGATGTCACGCAACCATGATGGATTTATATTACTTTCCATTTGATTGTTAAGTCATGTGACCATCACTACTTATTTTACTGCTGGCTTCTCCATTGACTTTGCTTGCTGGAAGCCAATTGTGAAGCGTAGAAATGTTATATGACCGTGGGATGCTGTAATGGTCATAAATGTGAGGACTGTTCATAAAACTACTTTTCAGTGCTGTTGTAACTTCAAATGGCCATTAAACAGGGCAGACATTAAGCAAGGACTGGCAAAAAATGGCAAAGCTAAATTGCTGAGAAAGATATATCTGTTATCCAGCAACAAATGGTTGTGGACACGGACAAAGTACTTCCTACCAAATATTTTCCAGTGTCCTGAAAGTGAAGCTGTTATTATAAAAAAATGTTTACCATGCTGCTTTCAGCCAATTCCTGTTTTTCGATTAATTTATTCTCCTCAGCATTCTCTGGAAGGTGGAAGCTGCTTTCTGATTTCTGACTGACATGACTGGCGGCTGCTTTGTTCTTAAGCAGGTGTTTGAGGAGTTCATTCCCTGACTCCACTTTTGCAGGTGGGGTGTTGGCAGGTGGTGCCAGATTCTGTGCAGGAGGGGAAAGCTGAATGGCAGCTTTATCATCTTCCACGTCAACATCCCTTTCAGTCTTCATCTTAGACACAGTTTGACTGGAGCACTGATCAACTTCTGCCTTTTCTGGTCCAATTTCTTGAAGGTTTGCAGAGATATCGGCCTTGGCCGTGTCCGTTTCTGGGTTTAGACTCGACGGTTCAGGGAGTTCGTTTTGTGGCAAATTGCTTTCGGCAAGTTGAGCTTTCAGCTCTAAGGATGGCTCACCCTCTGCAGCATTTGGTGTTGCTGCATCTGGCAGCTCTTCTTTCTCAGTTTCTCCCGAGTTGCGTGCAAGCTCCCCAGGAGTGCTAAGAGTTGGGGTGGACACAGCATCCCCAACAACTGGAGTTGGTGGAGCAGTTATATCTGAATGAGGCGTTGATGGTGTATTCACAGAGTCAGTGTCATCCTCCTTTTTCTTCTTTCTTGTTCTTTTCTTTTTGCCCTTCTCCTCAGGAATGATATCAGAATACAGTTGAATCAGAGACTGGTTTGCTGGATTTGTCCCAGCAAAGTTTGTTGCAGGTGGCAGGCTGGAGTCCTGACCGCAGGCCAGAACACTGCTAGTTCCTGGAGAAACTGCAGGCACGCCACTGGCAAACTGGGGCCTAGGCAAGGACTGGGTAAAGCTGACTCCAGAAACACTTCCGTGGGGCTGCTTAGCAGAATGGTAAGCAGAGCTTCCACCTTGAACTGGGGCTGAATCAGGTGCAAAAGGGGAAGATCCTGCCTGCAGCTGCTCACTGCATGGTGGAAAACTGGGAGTGGGAGGAGAGTTTAAGGGCCCTGGTTGCAAAATAGTTCCTATCTGCTGCTGTGGTGGTGGTGGTGGTTGCTGCGGAGACTGCTGAAGGGGCTGTGGTGGTCTCATAAAATCACAAGTTCGATCTGAACCGAGGTAAGGTATTTGAGGGAAGGATGTTCTAGCACTTAATTCGGAGCTCACTGTGCCATGCTGCTCCATTTCCATCCTCTGTTGCAGTGCTCTCTGTCGATCCACTTCCTGCATAAGCTGGATTCGTTGCCTTTCCTGCTGCTCCCGCAAACGCTCTTTTCTCTCTCGTTCCTGGAAGCTTTCGCTAAATGGGTTATTGTCATCAAACTCCACACGAGGTGGGGGGCCGGACTGCACACTGGGGCTGGGGGCTAACACAGGAGCAGGTGTCCCAGGATTAACTGGCAGCTGGGGAACTGAAGGCGGCATTCGTGGTGCATTGTGGGAGAAAAGTACTGGAGTATTTGGAGGTTGCCAGCTGGGCAAGCATGGGATTCTGGGTGGATTGGGTTGGCCAACTTTGTGCTGTGGATGCTGAAGCTGCTGGGATATCATTGGGAAATTCTGCTGGCCTATGGCTGGTGATGACCCTCCAGGGACCATGGGGGGCTGCGAAGCAAGGCCTGGCATCCCTGAATGGGGTCCCATTCCAGACTGCTGCTGTTTTATCCGGTATTCTTCAATCAGCTCTGCATGCTCTTTCTGCTGCTTTCGTATCTGCAAAATTCATTTCTTATTTAATTCTAATATATTTTTTTAATTATCTTTACCCCGCCTTTATTATTTTTACAAATAACTCAAGGAAATGAACATACATACATATACTCCTTCCTTCTATTTTCCCCACGGAAAGGCCCACTATTGTGAGATTTTATTATGAATCGCATGGAACCAAAGAGCTCTTACCTGTTCAAGCTGTTTTTGAACCATGCTCTGCTGCTCAGTGACGTGTTTCAGCTGCTCTGCATCCTCCTCTGGGAACTCACGTCCAGCTTTCTTTGCTGTGCGCTGCTTTGCAGAGAGGGCTTTCTTTGATTTTCGGTGTGCTCCAATTTGCTCTTCGAGATACTTCTGCTGCATTTGGAGAAGCTGCTGAGTTTCTTGTAGCCATTCTTCGTATTGCTTTCTATATGAATCATCTGGGGTTAAAAGATAACAAATGCCATGTTCCTTCTAAAGATTCAAGTGTTAAAGGGAGATCTTTATTTTTGCTTTGGGCCATGTTGTTATTATGAAGAATTCCTCCACTGGCCCTTAGATTAGCATCCGCAAAACATGTTTTCAAGCAAGCTACAGAAAAGAGATCTACAGCTGCCCTCTCCCTGTATGTTCAAAATAATATAGCTAGTCTTTGGCCATAATTGAACGTGGAACCATGATCATAAACTGAGCAGGTCATTAACAGGTGATCATGTAACTGACCCAATTTTATGTTATTATTATTATTATTATTTTGCAATAGTCATTAAATGAATGGGGAAGTTGTAAAATGAATGCTGCAGTTAGTAACCGAGCCCGTTGTTCGCCAGCTTTTGATGGAAAGTAAATCAATTTCCAGCCAAAAACATCATAGGTTGTGGTCATGTGACCATGGGATCCTGCAAATAGCTTAAATGCTAGCTAACTGCAAAGTGCCCAAATGCAATCATGTCCCCACAGGTTGTGGGTGGCCATCAGAATTTCAAACAATCACAAAGTGACTGGTCAATAAGGACTCCTTCTATTAATACTTTGTCTCAAACATACTTTTCTTTCAAACTATGTTTAAATAATGGAAAAAATACAAAATATTTTAAGAAATGCCAAAATAGCTTTTAAAAGGCAAAAGGGGCCATGTTTATCTTAAACTAGCCAATGGTCTATTACTTAAAAAAAAATCATTGATATGGCTGAATACACTTTTACAAAAAACATATTGCCTATAAAAAAATTAAACACATGAACGATTATCTAATTACTAATTAATAATGAAAGTTACTCAGAGAAATTTCAGTAATTTACTGTATTTTAGATATTGCATTATTTTTGTAAATTATGTTTATGGAGTTTAGAAATCACGCCCCAAGGACATATAACACATGAACGGAGTTATACTTACTTACAAATCCAGGACCAAAATTTGGAGGATTTGGTCTAGACATCTGAGGTGTTAGGTTACCATCCTTAAAAGAGAAAAAAAACAAAAACAAAATGTATTAAGATGATCTGAGAAAGGCATGGGGATTTTTCCAGCTCAGAAGTCAGATTATGTCAGTGTTTTTCAACCTTTAAGGTGTATGGACTTCAACTCCCAGAATGCCCCATGATAGCTGAGGAATTCTGGGAACAGAAATACACATGTTAAAGACCTCAAGGTTGAGAAACACTGCATTATGCACATAGGTTGTGTGAATTATTTTGCCCCGAGCACTAAAAGTACAATGCCTCACATATGAATCAGCTACCTCTCTCTCCATTTCTAACCCTTTCCCCAATTTTAAAAAAACAAAACATTATTACTGCAATCAGAAGCAGCACTGACAATCATCTGTAAGACAGGGAAAGGCAGATTTCAGATGCAGCCACACCCATCCATAAAGTACTATACAAGAACAATTGGGGATTTGGTTCCTACTTTAACCACTAAACATATTGCCCTTAAAAAGTATTATCTTGAACTGATTTACTGCAGATCTCAGGAAAATTTTTATTACCTGTGTAACTGCTTGTGGTATTAAATGCTGGCCTTCACTGCTCTGGGCTCCAGGTCCTGTCTGACCCATAAAGGCAAATCTAGTAATAGGTAAAGAAAAATAACAAATTTTATTTTTTATGCAATCTGTATTAATGAAGAGATCATAATCTCAAACAATTCCATCATAATATAAATCAGCTGACATTTCCTCATATGTACCTATAATTATTTTAGGATCCATCCATCCATGCAGAACAGAAATAAAAAGGAAATAAACGTATTCAATTATAGAATTGTATAAATTCATTAATATCTCTGCAAGCAATATCTGAACTTATAATTAAGGAGAAGAGCTGTACTTTCATATTAGTATCTAAGAAAGCAATATTGCATCATTTTAGGCAAAAGCGCCATTTTTACCAACCTGTTCATGACCAATGGTGGCATCCCCATATTGTTCTGTGCCATAACTTTATTGATCCCTTTCAGAGCTACCATTTTCGCCTTCATTATAGGATCAGTAATTGCATCAAAATCTAAGAAAACAGAATATATTGTTTACAAAGTATTAAAATCAAGTTGCTTCAATTCTGTGAACTGTAGCCTTTTCATATTTATATCAGCTAATCAATTCAGTGTTGTTGTTTTTTTAATTTAAAAAGTTGTGTATTTGAAAAACGGTTTCCATGGATATGTTGAATTTGTTTCAGATCACAAACTGAACCTACCAGCAATCATTTTAGAATCATTTTACATTTAAAGTTTACATGACCTTAGACTAAAATTGGATAGCCAACTAGTGATTCAAATAAATATTTTGGCAGAAGCAAAAATGCTAAACTGTCAGTTTTTCTCTTAATGCCTCCACTGAATTAGTGCTAGGAATTTAATGAAATTTGTTTTCAAGAATGTTCCGTGTCAAATATATGTTTTCATTTGTATTAGATCAATTCTCAAGAATTCTAACAAGTACATACCGTACTATGTTGTATAAATCAAAGGAAAAACAAAAACAATTAACTCTTTCCACGAGCCTTACAATTTTTTTTTTTAAAAAGACTATGAAAAATACAGGAAGTCCTCAGCTTACAACAATTCGTTTCCTAACCATTCAGAACAGCATTGAAAAATATGACTTATGACTGTTTTTCGCTTAAGACAGTTCAGCATCTCCACAGTCACATGATCAAAATTTGGGCGATTGGCGTCTAAGACTGCTGCAGTATCCTGAGGCCATCTGATCCTCTTTTGCAGCCTTCCTATAAGGGGGAGCCAAATTCGTTTAATGACCATGTTAGTCAATTTACAATGATTAACAACTGTGGCAAGAAAGATTGTAAAACGGGGCCAAATTCACTGAACAACTGCCTTGCTTAGTAATGAAAATTTTGGGCTCAACTATGGTCATGAGGCAAGGACTACCTACCGAATTTTGCCTATATATTTCATCTTTTAGAAAGGCAACAAAAACGGTTTGTTATATTTCTGGGGACTGAAACTTCCGGCTTACTCTAGTTTTTAGTTTTCGTGGTAATGGTTTTAATGTTTGCTTTAATTATTTTATTGTTTTTAACCTACAAACTTTTGTTTTCAATTACACCTAGTGATTAATGAGCTGAAGGAAATAAGTTGAATGAGCTGAAGGAAATAAGTTCAATGCCATCAATCAACTATATGAATATATATCTACAGAAAGATCCCTGGATAAAAAGCTATTCAATGATCAAAAATGCCTACACATCTCCTGGGTGGCTGGAAATAAAATATAGACATGGACATGAGTTAACATTCATGACAGCTGAGGATGAAATATATTTGCTCCATCTAGTTTGTACATATACCCAGCCAACATTACCATGGTTGGAAAAGTAAGAAAAGCATACCAATGTTAGGGAAAAATGGTTCAGACCGCTGGCGAATCATGGCTTGCATCTGTCGTTGCTGCTGCTGCTCTTGCCTTTCTTGATCCAAAAGATCTTGTAGCAAGAGAGGCTGCTCTTCCAAAAGCAGAGGCCTCTCCCGATTCTGCTGTTGGACCAATGTCTGAGAAAGCACCAGCTGCTGAGGACCAGGAATGCCACCAGGAGCAGGCCTATTTACCACAGGCCCTGTTTGGCTTCCAGGCTGCCCTACCCCTAAACTGGGATTGAGGGGCTGGCCAGAAATAAAGCCTGAATTTACTGCAGTTCCTTGTGACAAAATATGGCCTACTGGTGGAACCATGTTCACATCAGGTAACACATTTTCCATGTTTTGACTTGTGGATGTAATCAAAGATTGTGGGATACTGGAAATGGGATTTGTTTGGGTTGTCCGGAAGGAGCGAGGAGATTCTAATAACCTCGTGTCAGGATTTTCGGAATTGCCATGAGTGAGTAAGCTTGTAAGAACTGGAGTAGATCCAGAGGTATTACAAGAATTTGTTTTATTTTGACTAGGTAACTGAACTGCATCTGAAGTGGATGCTGTGGTTTCCTCATTCATATTTGCTTTATCAGTTTCTTCCACATTACAAGGCAAAACAGGTTTGGTTTCTCCATCATGCTGAGCACTAGAAGCTGCCACATTTTTGTCATTTTTTTCATGATTACATGTAGCTTCTTCAATTGGAGAAAGCATTTCTGTTTTAGTCTCAATGTTCTCAGCAGCTTTTTTCTGAGTAGGAACAGACACTTCAGGAACAGAAGTCTTATCATCTGAATGTTTTTGCAGACTGTCTTCTGCCTTGGCCTGTATATCATCTATGGGGACATTAAGATCCAGCTCTTCATTGAACATACCCTTTTTGTCACCCAAATCATGGTCTGGATCAGTATATGCAATTATGTCAAATTCTCCTGATCTCAGAAGATCATCAAGATGACGGTCATTAGTTTCAAGATTATCTAATGTGTCCAATTCATCACCTTTATCTTCCGCATCTAAATTTAAATTTTCAAGATCTTCATCAACCAAATCCTTAACCTCAACACCATCAAGGTCTTTAACATCTAAATCTTTCACAGAGGGGTCATCAGGATCGAGTTTATCTTCTAAGGTATCAGTGGGCTGACTGGGCACTTGTAAGTCATTTGTTGCATCAGTAGGTCTTGTGGTTGGCAAAGAGTCTCCTGAAAATGCATTATTTATTGATGGATGATTTAAGGAACACATGACTAGTGCAGGTGGATGAGATGGATTCATTTTATCCTGCTGGGATGGTGCTAAATGCTCCAAGCCTGTTGAACTCTGCAACGGATTATCTGGATTTTGAGAATTACATCTGGTGGGTTCTAGATGTCTTGGGCCCTGACGATCCTGTCTAGGTAGAATTTCAGTTTGTTGTTGATGCTCAGGAACAGTGTTCATAATAGTAGTTGATGAAGAAATAAAAGGCAGTCTTGGTCTGACTTCAGGCGTTCTATGACAAAGCTCAATGAAGGCCTGCCCCATTATATTGTGCTGTTGAACCTGGATACCTTGCGGTGGGAAATGCTGTGGCAAACCAATGGGATTATTCATTGGTGGTTTGTTAGGTAGCCTAGGCAGATCTATAGGCATGGATCTTCTAAACTGTGGTGGGACACCAGCATGTTGCATTTGTGGTGATGGACCAAGAAAATGATCTTGGCAAGGGGGAGGTCCATGGCCACCACTGGGAAAGCCAAATCTGGGAAAGAGAAAAACAAGCTTTTATTGAATTGGATGACCCACAGGAGAATATTTCCTCCATAATGAATACATACAATAACTGTGAAGCTAATTTTTACATAAATAAAATTAATGACATAGCTGAGTTTATTTTCATATTATCTATTTACTACTAAAAATAAATGATCTCTCTCTGTATGTAATCAAGTTAAACAAATTATGCATATTTTGCAGAGCTACAGAATTGGTGTAAAAAAAAGAATATACTAAGTTAAAAGGGCAATATATATTGCTTTAAACCTTGATTAAACTGCCAGGAAAAAAGATGTTAATTAAGGCCAATTAATAAAACTATAATGAATTTTTATGCTAATTAATATAATTGATATAAGGGCAGAAAGAAGATTCCTACATTCCAAAGTAGCTAGACATGTCTAACAGCAAAAATAGTATTTTCCAGACATAATCATATTTATACATGACATAGAAAGGAAACATTTACATATCTTAATTTACAGACTATAAAATTACAATTTAAACAAAAATAATATATTCTAGTGTCAGAATGTTGTGGCCTCAGAAGTTAAATGCTTTTGTGCTTGATTCATTATTTTCAAAATAAAAAGAATATTTAATAAAATATGGATTCAATTTTAAGTGACTGCGTGTAACTTTTTAATATGTTGTCATATATTATTCAAGTATTATTTTAAACCACATGCTATTTAAGGGGATTGTTAAAAGTAATGGTTTTTTTAAAGTACTTGTAGCTAAAATTTATCATTTCCTCTCCTTCAAAGAAATAGCAGTAGACTTATATACCGCTTCATAGGGCTTTCAGCCCTCTCTAAGCGGTTTACAGAGAGTCAGCATATTGCCCCCAACAATCTGGGTCCTCATTTTACCCACCTCGGAAGGATGGAAGGCTGAGTCAACCCTGAGCCGGTGAGATTTGAACCGCTGAACTGCTGATCTAGCAGTAGCCTGCAGTGCTGCATTTAACCACTGCGCCACTGTATATCATATCATATCATATTGTATCATATATCATATTATATCTATAGCACAATTTCTGCATTAAAATGAACTTATGCAAATTTGTCTTTCTGAATGACAAATGTGCTTGAATTTCTTCATAGTCCAATTTAGTAAAGAGTGATAAAGCATTTCTATACCTAATTCCATGAGGCCTCATCCCCATGCCAACAGCATCTCCTGGAAATTGAGGTCTATTCAGTTGCCCATCAATAGGAAAACCTGCCAGCCTTAGTCCACCTGGAGGAATGGTAGATGGTCTAATGTTGCCAGGATATGGAGGTGGTGGTCGGGTGAAAATTTGATTCAGATTTTCTTGCTGCCATGGCTGAATAGGTGCCACTGGAGTTGCTACAATAGGCTCTGGTGGGGCTTTTTCTTGACGGATTGCGTTTTTCTTTTGTTGCTGCTGCTGAAGAATAATTTCACGTAACTTCTGGCGCTGACAAGAAACAAAACATATATATAACCTAATGTTCACAGAAACATTTTGCTTCTTTTGATATTCCTTGCAATAAGTCACATGCCTCAGAGGTGGGTTTCTGCCGCTTCGCCCCAGATTGGGCGAACTGGTAGTGGTGGCGGCGGGAGGCTCTGCCCACCCATCCAGACGCGTGAGCAAACCAGTAGTAAAATAAATTGAAACCCACCACTGACATGTCTGTAAGCCACATCTCTTTTTTACCAGCATTTGCTCATTTTAAAACTGTATTCATCCATCACACTTTAGACAGCCTTAAAAAAAACTTACAAAAACTCAAAACATCAGTCCTCTGGCTTAATATCAGTCTCCTGGCATTTGGTTTTGGATATTTCTCTCTTTCCATCTCATTTCTACATTGACCATCTCACCTCAATAACTTTGGGCGGTTTACAATAAAATCGTGTAGTTATGAAAGGACGTCTAGACAGCCAATCCAGAATATTATTATGATAAAATGAATGAGTGTTTTCACAATCATCATGTCTTTACAGAATCTATTATTCACTAGACTAAGACAGGCTTGAAATTAGGTTGAAACCAGTGGTGGGAGTCAGCCAGTTCGCACCCCTTCAGGAGAACCGGTTGTTAACTTTCTGAGCAGTTTGGTAAACTGGTTGATGGAAGAAATCATTAGGGCAGAGAACTGGTTGTTAGATTATTTGAATCCCACCACTGGTTGAAATGGCTCTATTCAATTGGTCTCATTTAATTTAGCTCTGAATTATGTGATTACACACAAGCATACTGCCCAATGCAAGAGTCTTAAGCACTGAATAATAATTTTTACAAACCTTAGATTCAAAAAATATTTCTTTAAATTAATACTGGTTAACATAGCAAAGTGCTCCCTGATTCTAACTATATAAGGAGAGGAAAATATACAAGTTTTATAGCTCACTTCTACCTTCAAGTCTGGTTAAGAAGAGATGTTGGATAATATTCACACAATAAGTTTTTAATAAAGATAGGGCAACGTTACCCGGAAGTTAGTCAGCTGTATATTTGTATCATTTAGCTCCGTAAATCAGTGATTTATTGAGACAGGCTGTTTCTTATGTTTCTAAAAGCTAGTCTTACATTTTTTCAACTATGTAACCTCAATATGAATCAGCATTACATAAAACAAGATAAATTCACCTGTCTTAATTTCTCTGCATCTGTATGAGACATTGCGCTGTTCTGGGTTAGTCCTGCAGTTGGGCCTGGGACAGAACCTTGTGTGGTCTGTGAAAATAGTTTTCCCTGCAAATTCATGGATGAATTTACTGAGGAATTGAAATTTCCCTCTGGCCCACTTCTAGATTGGTCATCTTGGGGGTGCTGAACTGTTCCAAAGGTTTCGGGTTGAGATCTTGGAGTCATTGGAGGCTGGTCAAAAGGATCACAAGGTGAGGGGTCGTGGCTAAAAGAATCTGCCACTGTAGACCCTGATAGCTTTGAAGGTTGAGAAGGATCTGATGGCTTGACAAAAGTCCCAGATAAAGTCCTGCTCTGAGATGCCTGCAGATAAGGATCACGATTTGACATGGGAATAGGTCTACTGAAAGTTTCTGAAATTCCAGATCTTTGAGTTGCTGGTGACTGAGAATACAGATCATTAGTAACTGGCATTGGTGTACCTGGAGGCTGGGCATACAGATCAGAATGCCTCTGATTAGCTGAAACCTGAGCAAATAAGTCTGCAGCCTGTGGAGGTCTTGATGCAAGTGACTGATGCATATATGGGTCAACTGAAACAGGTCGAGGGGTGCCAGGAGGCTGAGCATAAGGGTCTGTGACTGGGCGAGGGGTGCCAGGAGGCTGGGCATAAGGGTCTGTGACTGGGCGAGGGGTGCCAGGAGGCTGGGCATAAGGGTCNGGGGTGCCAGGAGGCTGGGCATAAGGGTCTGTGACTGGGCGAGGGGTGCCAGGAGGCTGGGCATATGGATCCTGAGCAACTGTCCTTGAAAGAGCTCCAGAATAATCACCCTGATTTCGCAACACTCTTTGTGGATGGGCAAAAGTATCCTTTATTGCCGAGTGCGAAGCCAACTGAGACTGGCTGTAAGAATCATTAGATGGATTGTGTGCAAAACTATCTACAGGCCTTGGTGTCAAAAGAGGCCTTTCATAAGGATCCACAGCTACTCTCCTTAAAGTAGGTGGCATTTTTGTGTAAGAATCTTGAGAAGATGGATTTGGGCACGCTGGTGTTTTAAATGGGCTGGAATGCCCTTCAATAACAGATGTTGAAGTTAATGAAGGCCGTAAACATGAATCAGTAGAAGAGATCCGTGGTCTCTGAAAAGTATCACCTCCTGTTCTTGGAGGTGGCTTAGCAAATTGGTCACTGCTTGCTGGCTGTTCTGAAATTAAAGGTGATCTTGACATCCCCAAAGGTTTAGAGAACTGTTCTGTTCCAATTACAGGTCTCGGTGTATCTGGAGGTTTTGCATAAGGATCACTAGTGCCTGGAGACAAAGAACACGGATCTCTGGCTGGTGATGGTCTCCTTCCCATTGATTCAGAAACTTGAGTTGGCCTGGATATCGAAGGCAGTGGACAGGCCTCTGCTGACGTAGCAGAATTTCTCCTGACAAATTTTGGATTTTGGTTAACAGGTGGTGGCCTGGGAGTTCCCACCATTTTTGCATATGGGTCAACCGGAGAAGGTGGCTGAGCGGAGGGGGAAGAAGAAAATGTTTGTTGTGGAGTCTGACAATGACCTTCTTGAGCAGACATTCGATTAGCAGCCATAGGTGGAGGTGGGGCTGGGGGTTTTAGGAAAACATCAGGAGGAGTAGCTGTAGAAGGACCAGGCAGCTGTTTTGCATATAATGCTTGCTGTGCAGGAGACATATTTCCATTGCTGGTCTGAGGGGTTAAAGGACTTTGCATCCCACTGCTAGGGGTATCTGAGCCTGATTGGTTTACAAGCTGTTGTGATCCTAGTTGTGGCTGCTGCAACTGCTGCTGTTGCTGCTGCAGCTGCTGCTGTTGCTGCTGCTCATTTTTCACTTGCTCAAGTTTCTGAGTTGCTTCAATTTTAGCTTGCTGTTTACTTTTTTGACGCATTTGCTGTTTCAGAAAAGGAAGAAAAAAAGTTAAAATTAAATAAAAGACCGAGTAGTAAACCCACAGGCACATTTAAATATTATTCATATACACATACTGACACACTAAGAGCACCGAAACCAATGGCAAAGTTTTAATTATTTTTTTTTATAAAGTCCTACCTGAAGTTATTAAAGGTACGTATTTTGAAAATCAAAAGTTCATATTAAAAGTGAACATGACAGTCAAATACTATAAAAATGCTTTCAAGCCATATCAAAAGTTTCATCCAAGCCACCCAACACTTTTTGGAGCTCTCCCATTCAAATCTTGTTTTATATGCAAGTTTTTTAAAAAAAAATAGTGGATGCAAACATGACTGCAGGACATGCAACACTCCCCTACACCCCCCAAAAACATGTTCAGTTTTATCTGATTATTGTGAAGTTTGAACTTAATACTGTAAACCAAAATAAAATAAAACCCTCCCCTGAAGAGATGCATCCTGTAGGCTCCCCAAGTTCCCATCAAATATAGAAGAGACTAGAAATTCTGCAATCTGCAATCATAACAATATGGAAATAAACAATTCAGACAGCTTCTATTAACCTCTAAATAAGCCTGTGTTGTCAGAATCTGCCATATTCCTCTAATACTTATCACTTCTAAACACATTACATATTTCAGTATCTCCTTCTGCACCTACGGTATAATGAATGCTTCACTTCAAGACAGAAATATAAATTCTGAATTACTCAACCTTGTATGATATGGGATTTCTGCTGGAAACATGAACTTGTTCCAATTTATTTGGAAGTTATAAATAAATAAATAAATAAATAAATAAATAAATAAATAAATAAATAAATAAATAAATAAATAAATAAGTTCTATTTATGATACAAAAGTTACGTCACATTTAGGAAGCCCATACGCACTGAATGGGAGCATAAAAATATGCAGCTGTGCTATACAAACAGCACAGAGCAAGCAGCAAACACAACATACCTGCCTAAATTTCCATTCTTGCTCATGTTCAGATTCTCTCTGTTTTAATGGATCCTTGAAGAGATCAGTTTCAATACGAGATCCAGGATCAATGTTATCCTGCTGTTGCTGCCTCTTCATTGAATCATTGGACATTTGTACTTTGTTAATCCGTAAAGCAGCCCTATTATCTCTGGCTTTTTGCTATTTGAAAAACAAAAATAGAATTTACTTGGGTTCTGATTCATAAATAAAAGCAACCTTTATCCCAGAAAGTTTCATTATCCCAGAAATACTTAAAAGTTTATTTATTTGACCTAAAAATGTTTGAATGATTTAATAAGCAACAAGACAACTATTTATATCATTAGACAAATACAGAGTAGTTGTATTTGTGGGGGACAAAGTTGCCATCAACAAGAAGAAATAAATATTGAAATACTAAAGAAAATGAGTATTTGTAATGAACCCACATTTAATCAATCCCAGGAAATGTGTCCCCGCTTCAATTTAAGCCACAAACATGGTTTTTAATAATTTCCAAAAGTCTTAAGCATTTATTACTAAAATTCTTCCAATTACATCTCCAGATGATCAAATCAATTAGATTGTTACCAAAAATTAATATGTATGTAAATTCCATATTAAAATATTTTATAAAATACTGAACAAAGCATTCACAAAATGTGAACAACAATAACAAACTTGAATGCCCTAAAAAGTAGATCTGGGAAATCAAAAAACAGTGAGTATTGAGGAAAGCAAGAAATCTTAGCTACCACTGATTTATGCCCTTGAGGAATGAAAGAAGACAATGCTTACTCATAGAATGTTTCTTCAAATTAATCTATCAACTTGGCAGTTAAAAATGTTGGAACATATAATGGAGAGTGAGATCTAAATAAAAAGGGTCTTCAAGAGTTCAGGCATTACGTGTTTCTTGTTGTGTCTCAAGGGGCCCTGAAAGTATGGGTTATTTATGTATCAAATCTTATTGTTGTTAGTCATACACCCTTTTGAAGAAATCTACACAGATTCATAAAGAAAGCCTTTTTCTTAGTCTGATCCAGTTAGGAGTGGATAAGAAAGAAAGAAAAACCTAAACAAAAAAAGGAAAAAATCCATAAAATAAATTTAAATTCGGTGAATTATCATGGATCCTTGTGTAATCTACAGAGAAGTCTGGAAAAATGCCTATTTAACAAATTGATTTTGCTAGATTTTATATTTTTAAAATGTACTCTGTAGAAACAATATGCTTTTTTAGCAATTCACAGTTTAAAATAATTTCTAGACTAATTAACAGAAGTTGCAGGTAAAGAGAAAATTTGTTTTCACCAAAATAAAAAGGTTCATTACCACGTATGGGGCTCTTTCTTGAGAGCTTGCCTTTCTCCAGAGCTTGGCAATCTGCTTGACTCTGGTAGTCCAGTCTGAGAACATGGAGAAGAGAAAGGAACCAGATGCATTAATTGGTATTAGAAGCATTACTGGTACATAATGGAATATTATCCAATTCATAGAATATGTGAAAAAAATAGAATATCCTAAAACAAAGTGGACACCCAAAAGCCCCACGAAAATTAAGTTTAACTTGATAACATACCTGGAAACTCTTCTTTGAGGTTTGGAAAATTGATATTTGTGTATAAAACAGGTGCTACTGTTGCCATCTCACCAAGTGCTTCCTCTTTTTCCCATTTCAGAGTACTCCTCTGTGCATTAGACATGGTATCATTTTCTCCTTCCAAAGGCGTTGCAGTTGCAATCCAAGGATTGGTAGGATCATTAATCACTGCATTAAATACTGTGTTTTTATCTCTAAAATCACAACACAAAAATAAAGTATAGATATCATTTTTTTACATTCAGAGCTACAATGTCCCAAACCTTATATTTTAAAATTGCTAACAGTACTGGCACCCCTGTCTTCTGGTGTCAGCGAGAAATTGGGGAGGGCAATCTTTTAACTTAATTTCATGTTAATTTCATTTCTTGCTAGCTATGATTTTTTTTTTAAAAAAAAATAGTTTTACCCTGTCATTAGTATTTTTATAAATAGTTTAGGGCAGTGAACATACATAATGCCCCTTCATCCTCCTACAGTATTTTCTGTATAATACCCACCATGTGAAGCAGGTTGGGTTGAGAGAGAGGGACTAGCCCAAAGTCACCCAGGTGGCTTTCATGCCTAAGGCTGTACCAGATTTTTTTAAATACTTGATTTTTTAAATTTACTAACCTGGTATCGGTGTAGGATGGTTGTGTTATAGTAGTGAAAGTTCCTAATCCACCTCCAGGCACTAAGGGTGTATGAGGGAGATGAGGAGTTTGTCCAATTAGGCCATTCATAAGTGGAATTCTTGAAAATGCATTCTCCCCTTGGAAGAATAAAGTGGAAAGATAAAATTAATAACATCCAGTTCAAGACCAATTTGTTGCTAGCAGGAAAACACAACTTAAGATAAAAAGACAGTATTTGGCTATCTTCATGTTTTAAAAAGTTTCACATCCATTAGGCTAATAAATCTCTGGTTCATGGTTTCATAGAATTAGGCTAAACCTTCCGAAGGAACTACTATCTAAAGCCATAGTATCAAATACAGTTTCAGTTCTATTGCAAACAGTTTACAAAGATATATTCAGAGCCTGTGTTAACTAATATTATCTTTAATAAAACACTATTTGTATAGGTAAGGGATATCTATAGTATATGAAAGGAATGTGTAAAAGAACAGTTGTGAGATTCATTTACACTCATGTTTCAAGTAATTTCAATAATGTAATAAAAACAAATGCAAAAATGAATTAAAAGTCCTTACATCACCCCTCAAAAGAGGTCAGAATCCCTTTTTACAAATTATAGTGAGCAGTTAAGGTACATTAAAAACCCTTTAAAAAACCTCTTGCCCCATATAGGTTACCCTTTATTTAAGACCACAATAGGGATGGGAACCTCTGTTGCTAAGCAAGGCAGTCATTGAATTATGCTCAATTTTACAACCTTTTTTTGCCATGGTCATTAAGCAAATCACTATGGTCAGTAAGTGGTGGTTAAATGAATTTTGCTTCCTCCATTGATTTTGCTTCTAGGAAGCCATCTGGCAAGGCTGTAACTAGTGATCACATAACCCCAAGGCAGTGCCACGGCCAGAAATCTGTGCCAAATGCCCAAATTTTGATCACGTAACTACAAGGACACTGTTGCAAGTGTGAGGACTGGCCCTCGGTCGCTTTTTGTGGTGAAACTACAGGCTGAAGGAGAGGGGGGCCTTTTAGAAGAGTAAAAACAACTCCCAGCTTGCAATTGTCTCATTCCTCAGGGAAGGAAATGTCTGAGGTGAAGTCCGTCTAGATCTGCTGTTTCCAAAGAAACAGCAAGCATTTTGCTGCTGGCAAGATTTTTGTAATATAGGTGGTTAGCAATAAAGTCTCTGCTTGGGCCTGTTCATGGAGTTGTTCTGGTTACTGGCACCTGACATTTTTTTTCAGCACCACTGTAACTTCAAATGGTCACTAAATGAATATTTTTTTAAGTTGAGGACTACATCTATGACCATGTACAAGGCACTGGCTATTCTTGAATGGCTCTCAATTGCCATATCGTTTATTTAGGATGAAATACTTGATAAAAAGCAAACCTTGGTTGTGCAAGTGCATTAACTGTGGTGGAGGTGGGGGTGGAGGCTGTGGCAAAGGAGCTGTCTGTGTGGCTGCAGGACTCAGTACAGCAGTAAATAAGTCTTCCACGTCTTTTCCTCCCAGTTCTATAAAATACAAGGGAGTGTTAGAGCATATAGGTGTGGTGCACATATGTAATAATATGAATGTGTGCGAAATAAACTTCTCAGAAAGATATTAAAAATGGGTCACATACCTGGAATCTTATATAATTTACCAAGAATTGCACCTGCACAAAGTAAAAGCAATGGATATTACCAATCACCATTCACTGCATTTAGATAATTGCAACACATTAATTTCAAGAACTACTAGCATAAAGTCGAACATATGTGGTAATATGTCAAAACAACAAGCAGGCTTGGAAGACAAGGACGCAATATAACCATTTACCATCTGTGACCATCTTGTCCAATTCTGGGCTCAAGATCCCATCTAACTGTTCTTCACTCAGTGGCCGGGTACTCTGGCTAACGTTCTGCAGAGGCAGCGAGGTCGAAGGATCATCAGTGATAGGCCCAATATCTAGTCCAGCTGAAGGAAAGAAAAGTATAATTTTGAATAACATTAATCGGCTTAAATGGTAGGGAAAAAATCCAATAGTGCCTACAACTAAATATAATAAACAGTATTCATTTTCATTTGAGGAGTTTAAAAAGTCAACATTTTCATTTTAGAAAATATTTTGAATATAATGAACAGAAAAGTATCCACACTGGTACCAGAAAAACAAACTCAATTATATATTGTGGGAGTTTTTTTAGTAGTGAAATACTTAAGATTGCAATTGCAAACTTTCAAGTTTTCAAATAATGACATATGACTAACTTCTGTCCCCCCCCCCACCTGTTTCATAATCATTTTGTCTAATGAATAACATCTGAAACATATCTTTGTCAATGCTCAGTTAACCCAATAAAAGCATCATCTCCATATGGATTTGAATCTCAAAGCATACATCAAAAATCTGGACAACAATAAAACTACTGTAATATTTGAGATGTATCAAAAATAGTTAAGGGTATTTTACATTTAAGGGAATGTTTTTTTCAAACAAATCAATCAACCAATGGAAACTATGTTATGGACGCTGTGAAACTATGTCTGAAGTACTTAAAAGGTTAAAAAAACTCAGTATCTTTAAATATGATTTAGACACAAATAGTGCATACAGTTTGACGAAGGGTGTTAGGCTTCAACTATGGACTATTGTTTATAATAAAACAAAAGTTTATGTTTTTGAACAGATATGTGTAGTGTTAGTTCAAATTATTTACTAGGCTGAGGAATGAATGTTTCCACTAGGAAGATTATAAATGGTTTACCTCTTTTCCAATTTACAGGTGTTTCAAAAGTCAGACAAGAGGCAGTGGGAACTGTCACGATTACCGGCTTAGAAACTACATTTTGGTGAAAAGAAAACTTTTTACCCTGATTCCAAGTTTGGCTTACTACATTAATTTACTGTTAAGGGAAAACTTTTGTTCAGCTTGGCCTTTTGTCTAATAAAATTGCTAATTATTTCAAATAGCAAACCACATGCTGGCTTAGACTGCTCCTGATTCCAGCTTATTGTGTATCCCATTCGGATTTTTCTCCTATTGCCAAGTTGTCCTTCCTTCCCTTTGCAGACTGCTGCTTTATATTAGAATCTTTCTGGCATCGTTTATTCTGTAACTGACCTAATCCTGGTCTCTTCAAGCCTATGTGGCAACTATGTGTTTATTTTCTCCCATTTAATTGACAACCAAAGCAGGCTTCTTTCCGTCAGCATTGGCACCAAGCGGAACTTTCTTTTTTGTTAAACTGCCGAGCCAATGCTGGCAAATTGAAATTCCGTATGTTTCACTGTTTGAAATCATTTGGCTGAATTTTATTCAGTTGCTCTGGCAGATATTTTATTTTACTTATTGTATATATTAAATTTACGTGCTGCCCATTTCACTGTTCAAGGTAATATAGGACCAAATTAGTTGATTAACTATTTAACCAGTTGCTTCATTTTGACTGTTTTATTAAATATATAAATTGAAAATATATTATTAGCTTGTGCTTGATAGATTTGTTTTGTAGCACTTTCTTGTCAGACAAGTATTACAAGTAGTGATAGTGGAAAATTATTCCTCCATGCAGAAAATTTTTACTAGTTAATAGAATTCTGGGGTGTGTAATATAGGTGTGTGTGTGTGTGTGTGTGTGTGTGTGTGTGTGTGTGTAGAAAGAGAGAAAACATGTTTGCTAGTGTTGAAAAAGAAGTATGTGGGAAACAGAGCCTATAGTTCTATAAGGTTTTACAGAATTGGAAGAAGACATTCTAGCATGTGAAGAAAACACACACTGTAAACATTTCTAATCTCATGAGCTAGGCTTACTCTAGAGACCACCCCTGGGAACTAGGACTATAAAAGATGATTTGTAAATAAGGGCAAGGGGTAACAGAATTATAGTAGTAGGAGATGTAATCGGGGCGGAGATAATGTGTTCACTTTAGACGCTTCACATAGATGTGATGGCATGAGTACTAAGCCAATGAGGAAAAGGTGGGAGGTAAATTTGTAACGGCAATAGAGAATACAAGGCAAACATATTGATGATTTAGGGTGTGTCCACTGTACCTACGTTTGCATTGGGGCTCCCTCTTTGCAAAGCAGTAAATAAAATTAGCAGTGACGTGCATCAGGGGAGGCAGGGCAGCCTCACCACTGTCAATCATGAAAAGGAAAAAAAATGTAAACGGGAATAGGTGAGTGCTGAGGTTAGGCTAGCTAGCTGCTGCCACACTATGAATGACTGCCTGTTTAAAAAAGCCTCTTAAAAAGCAGCCTCTACTATGAGGCAGGAGAACTGCATGCCTCATCTAGTCTGACTTTTTAGGCGCTGGAGCAGAGTTAAGTGTGGGTTAAAAGCCAAAAAAAATCCTGAGGTAGTTGAGGCATGCAGTTCTCCTGCCTCATAATAGAGGGTTTTTAGAGGGTTCACCCCATTTTTAGAGGTTTAAACTCTGTCATTCTGTTTAAAGCTGCAGTGTTGCGCTCACTCTTCCTCCTCTCTTTCTCCGTTTCTGATGCTCCCCCACCCCCACCCCACGCTCCCTCTTTTCCTTCAAATTTCCTTTTTTTCTTTAATAAATGCAATGCTCAGGCATTCTCTCCTCTCCTGCGACACCCCACTGACTAAAGCACTTTCTTTCGCCTCCTGAGCTCGCGGCAGCCTGTCTGAGCACTGCCACAAGCACAGGCAGGCGAAAGAAAGTCACTTTCTTTTGCCCGCCTGTGCTCGCAGCAGCCCGCCTGTGCTCGCGGCAGCCCGCCTGAGCTCGCGGCAGCCTGCCTGAGCTCTGCCGTGAGCACAGGTGGCGAAAGAAAGGGCTTTAGTCAGGGGGGTGTCGGGGGAGAGGACCCGCCATAAACCTCACCTCACGTCACTGAAAATTAGTATTGTTTTCTCTTGGAAATTTTGGCTGGTTTATTTCAAAACTAGACAATGAATCCACAACTGCAACATTAATTAGGTAAATACAGATAGTCCTCAATTTACAATCAATTGCTTAGCATCTATTCAAAGTTATGACAGACTCCATCCAAAAGGTATTTATGACCACAAACATCGATGAAGTTTCTCAGTCATCCAAGTAGAGTTGTCTGAAGGTTGTCTGAAGGTTGAATCAATGCAACTGCACTGAATTTTGTTGTTAGCTTGAGAGACATTTCACTGCCCATCCAGGCAGCTTCCTCAGTCAGAACAAGGCAGTTAAGCAAAGAGTCATTGGAATGTACCAATTCTTGCCACACCATTCGTTGAAATGTCTCTCAAACAAACAACAAAAAATCAGTCCAGTTGCAATGCTTCACCCTCCAGACAACTTCAGGCAACCTTCGACAACTCTACCTGGATGACCTGGATGATTGAGAATCTTCATCGGCATTTTGCAATGCACTTTGGGGAAGAAACCCCCGAGGCTGTTGTGGTACATTCCAATGACTAACTCCCTTGCCCTGGCTGAGGAAGCTGCCTGGGCAGGCAGTGAAACATCTCTTAGTCCAGTTGCAATGATTCAACCTGCAGATAACTTCAGACAACCTTCAGATATTTGCAACCAAATTCCAAAGTTTTCACAATCACCCACCCATCTATGGTCCCATGACCATATTTTAGGTGTTCAGCAGCTAGCCTGCATTTATGGCTGTTTGTGATGCTCTGCAATCATGTGACTGTGGCATTTCTGCCGAATGCCAGCAGTTATTGACACGTAGCAAAAATGACACATAGCAGACAAAGAGTTTGCTTAATGACTGAGATGTTCACTTAGCAATCATGGATTCACTTCACTATCATTCTGATTTACTTCACCACCACCATGAAGAAAAAGGAATGTGAAATTGGGTCAGACACATGATGACCTGCTGTATAACCATAACACCTTGCAAGCCTAGTGGGTGGGATCCATTATGGTTGTAAGTCAAGGATTATTTATATCCACTTAACTCTGGGAAAGAAATGGCGGTGAGAAAGAAACTCGAGATTACCCTGACATGGTCCTTATATAATTGAGAGCAGAGGGAAACAGGTTTTCAAAATTCTAATATAACCTGTAACAATGAAGTGTTTTTGTAGTTTGTGCAGCACATGTTTTCCTACCTGGCCTTTCTCAAAGGGCTGGCTTTTTATGTCTAAAAGCAGAACACTTACCAGAAACAAAAATCCTGCAGAATTTTAGAGCTCTTACAATACATTTAATTTTTCCCCCAAAAACAACTCTTTTCTAAAAATATGAACCTTAGGCGTTATGTCTGGCATTCTTATTTATATCTGCAATAACATTTCAAAGCTGAATTAAAAACCAGAAGGTTCCCCCACCTCCATGCTTTTATATTGATTGATGTAAATAAAAACTCCACTAATCTGAACAGAGACATGAAATGCTTTAAGTAAGTTCAAGAGAAATGTATTACTTGGTACTGTGAAATGCACACATAGACAATTCTGTAGTTATTCACAATATTCTTTAAATTAAAAAATCAAGTTCTTCTAAGTGCACTATAAATACAGGCGTGTTATACTGCGCAAGACTGCACAAAGGTAGTGAAAAATGAAAGAAAGTAAGGCAATAGAAGAGTTATTACACTATGCATGCACAAAAAAAAAATCAGCTGAAACCATTAGGAAACAGAACTACTTCTAAACACTGATCATCCACTGAATATTTCCTTACCAAAAGGGGAAGAGGAGTTCTCAACCTGGAAAGGGCATAAATCAAGACCTACAGGATCCAAACCAGATAAAATGGATGATTATAACAAAAAAAGTGAAGCAAGCAAGAAAGAACAAATCAAAAGTATATATAGCTGCATGCTGAAATAGTTCATGGATATGAAAAACACTGGTTATCCCCAGAGTAATAAAGAACAATTAAAAAACAAAGGACAGATGTATTAAGCAAAGCAAGAGATAATAGCTTTGACTAGCAGAAGCGTATTTAAAAATTATGCGTATATACAAATACATGTACAGCCCTGAACTTATAACCCTTTGTTTAGTAACAATGTCACTGAAAAAAGGGAATTATGACTTATCCTCCCACAGTAGTTGCAGAAGCTCCATGATCACATGATTAAAATCTGGAGGCTTGGCAATCAGCACGTGTTTAGATCAGCTGCAGCATCCTGGGATCAGGGGATCCCCACCTGCAACTTCTCAGTCAGCTTCTAACAACAAAGTCATTGGGAGAAGCTGAATTTGCTCAATGACAACATGATTTACTTAATAACTGTAGCATAAATGGTTGTAAAATCGGGCACAACTCACTTAACAATCACCTTACATAGCAATGGAAATTCTGGTCCTAACTGTGATCTTAAGACCCAGGACTACTCATATACATTGAACGGTTCACAAGGCAGAAATATGAAAGTTCAAGAGCAAAATGTTTTGTATTTTGCCATCTTGGAAGCCATAACATGAATCAAAAAGAGCGTTTCAAGTGCCTGTAACCAGAAATCATGAACACTATAAAGAACAATTTTTTCAATCATACCTGAATGATCCCCAGGTTTCACTAAATCATCTGAGAGAATTCCAAGGATGTCATCCTCAGTGTTCAGCACAAGGGCAGCTAATGGGTCATCCAGAGTACCTTTAGAAAACAGACAGCTCATAATAAAGATGCCATCAGGAACGACAACATTCAAATCTCAGTAAACAAACATTTCAGCTACCCAGAGTAGTAGATCATCTCCACCTCTGAATGAAGGAACTCCAAAAGATTAACTAGACACTAAACAAACAACTTTTACTAAAAGGCTCTTCTAATAAGGCCTCTTCTGATTTGTGCCCATGCCCGCTATATACGAAAATATATTCAGATTTACATACCTTGTGCACCAGATTTTGAGGGAGTGGAAGTCGAAGTCGAACTCAAAAGTGGATCTGAAGATGGGTCTAAGAAGTTGGTGTTCAGTCTTGCTTTGCAGGAAATGCTGAGGCTTTTATCACAAAAATTATCCAAACGTGGCTTGCTTTGCCTGCTAGTATCCAAAAGTTCTTTTCCAAAGAAGGCTTCCTAGAATTAAAACAAAGAACAAAACAACAACAACAAGGCATTTAATTAAAATGTCTTTATAAGCCACAGGATTCCTATATTTGAATCTGAATTTAAACTGAAAGAGATTTAAATACTTATTGGTTAATATTACAGTCAATAAATGTAACTGCTCTTGTTATAAAACACACTCATATTTAACCCAATTATGATTCTTTGTGTAAAATTGCTGATGTTGTTCACTTCTGCTTTAAAAGCATTCAAAATATTTAATTTTACGTGATTTGTACCTCTATCCTTTTCTGCTCTGTGTAGTGGGGTAACACCTACTCTCCAGAAAGATATTTATCAGACAGGTTCTTCTATGAACCTCTATTCATTTATCATAAAATCCAAGCAATTAATTTACTATCTTTAAATACTATATAGGTAAAATTTAAATAACCTTATTGCCTCTTGGCTAACTCAGCAACATGGACAAAAGTGTGTTCATTCTAAAAACAGAACATTCTTTCAGCAAATTTGACTATAATTATTTATATATTATATTAATATGTCTGTATTAATGTATTCAAAATAATGTATTAATATTAAAATATTAAAATAAATACTTTACTTTTCAGAAATACAATAAAATATTATTCATAGAACTAGGAAACTAACACTAATGTTAATGGTTTACAAATTATAAAGCAATTTCTTAAATTACAAAAAGATTATTTACTACATGCAAATAATGATCTTAGGGAAAATATTTTGCATGTGAGAGTACCTGCAAATACGCTGGAAAAATTTCCTCAAGCTTATTTTTCTTTTTCCTATAACGTTTTTTCATTTTTTCCATATTTTCAGAAACAGACATAGTTTCATCCACAAGTGTATCAGGCAGTTGTTCACTCCAACCTAGAAATATCAAACATGTTACAATGTTACAATCCTATTTAACTCTAGACTACAGCTGAAGTACAGAAAAAGGGCATTGATTAGTTCTTTTCCCAATTTAAAAACAGCAAAAGTTGAAACTGAAAATCTGATAAAAGGGATATAAAGGTAACATGTGGCATTGCTATGCAAGACTCTTAAACTTGGCACCACAATCTAAAGAAAATGTCCGTAATGTCACCTACAATCTCCATGGAAGGACCTATTTTCTATGCCAAAGATGGCGAACCTGTGGCATGTATGCTAGAAGTGGCATGCCAGTCGCCCGTTGCTCTTCAGGGTTCCAGCGCACAGCTGGTCATTGCATGTGCGGGAGCACTGGAAACCAGAAGCTCAGCTCCCTGGAACTGGTCTTCCAGTTTTCAGCGCTCCTGCACATGCACGCCAGGGAGCTGGTCTTCCTGTTTCTGGTGCTGTCCCATGCATGAACGCTCTCCTGTTTCGGCATTCAATGCCAAAAAGGTTTGCCAACCCTGCTCTACGCCATGGCTTTCAGACTGCCAGTTCAAAAGGTGCAGAGCTTTTTAGAAAGATACCTAACATACAATACAGAGATATTTTAGGTATTATAATATAGATATTTTAGGTATATAATATCTATTATATAGGATGGTCTTCCTTTGCCATTAGCTCTCTTTAGAATTTCAGCTATTAGTGTAACGGCTAAGGGATAAAACTAGACCTGGAAGACTGCAAATTCTAGTCTTGCCTTAGTTACAAAGCCAGCAGGGTGGCTATGGGCCAGTCACTTTTCCTCAGTCCTAGAAAGGAGGCAATGGCAAACCATTTCTGTACAATCTTGCCAAGAAAACTGTAGGAACCTATCCAGGCAGTCACCAAGATTCAAAATTACTCAGAGACCTCCCTAATATTTGTTTCTAGTGGATTACTTTTGTTCTGCTATTCCTCTGTTCATTATCTGTTTTTACATTGATGCAAACAATTTGCGTTTCAATTCACATTTCAATAAGCTTTACTAAGTTATGCATCTTTTCATAATCCACCAGCTTTGCATAAATGAACGGCCACAAGGATGCTTTTTACTAGAAAGGTTGTTTCTAGTAAGAATGGTTAACAAAGTTGTAGAACTATACTTTTATGTTCAGAGTAAATGTGACAGAATTTAATTCAAATTGGAAAATTGTCTCGAATATATATAATGCATGAATGTATACAAGGACGCAATCATGTAATATCTTCAGGAATGACAATGAATTAAGTTGGGGAACCAAGGTTAAAAAGAGTAACTGATTAATTAAAATATAATTATCTTATATTACAGGACATGGCAGTGACACAGAACTATGAGAATAAATCGCTAGATGCCTACTTTCATCTCTGCTGAGTATTTGCTCAGATACAGAACCAGAAGAATCTTTTCTAGAGAGAGATCTTCTAATTTTTCCTTGTCCTGTACGACTCCGCTGCCGTACCATGAATCCACCAATGCCTATAAAAATTATGTTCACAGTATTTATTAAGCAAATTTAGATAGTCACTCAACTCACATAGGTGACTGTGTTTTTAGATTATTATGTTATAATTAAGTTATTTAAATAAAGATAAACATCTTGGAGTGTAGACATTTTGTAGTCATTTCTATATAATACATAATGCCATTCAAATATAATAATAAGCTACTAAAGGCAATTCTAGATATTAAATATATTTAATTTTTGTAGTTACTTTATTTCCATGCACAAACACACACCTCCTTTCCTCTTACCAGCACCACCACACCCAGCTGTCTCTCAGCATAGCTTTTATAGCGAATCTTGCTGTGCTTAAAGAGGCAGGACAACTAGGCAGCCTGCCCTTCTACAAAGATATACTAAGATTATTTCCTAGGTCAAGGTAATAGGGAATCAAAAAAAATTGAGTATCTATAATTTCTTCTTGATGGTATAGCTCCCTTCTGTAAGAATTCAATATAATGCATAAGAAATCCAACAGTTGCCCATATCAATCCAATGATGACCTGTACATCAATAGAAATATCAGCTGAAAAAACCCTCACTTCTCCCAAGTGGTGGAGACAGCAGCCATGCATGGGTTAACACTGCCAGTAACCAACAGGACTGAGTCTACCAAATTAACACCAGAGCCTCTGAGGAGTGTCCTCCCGCTTTTTTAGACTCAGTTCGATTGGGACTGGCTGTGCTAATTGCTCTCTCCTCAACTTAATTTCACAGAAAAAAATATAGAAATTGGCTATTTTCAAATTTAGTTTTTCTCCTAGTCTTCCTTGCCTTTAATTAGTCCTACAAGGCAGGGGAGCCTAGTTCTGCAACGCTAGCGCCCCATGGGGGGCTTACAGCACTTCGCCCTTCCAAGGAAGAATCTGAGCCACGAGGCAGCTCCCTGACTTCCATCGTTCAGGGCTCTCTGCTACCTGAAGGGATTCCTTGCGGCTTTGCTGCTTGGCACCAGCCTTTGGAGGCCACCGCTGCATAGGCAGAGCTCTTTCCCACCTCAGCCGCTATTGCCGCAGCTGCTAGAGCCACTGCAATGCCGATAAAACAGCCGCCGCAACTACAAACGACGCTGCCGCCGCCTTTGCCATCACTGCCACAGCAGGCATCCCCGAAGTTTTCCTCACTGCACCGCCTCTCCGCAGCACCCCATCACCGGCGCTGATGGCTTGCTGTTCCCTCAGCCACGCTGCCATCTGGCCCATTGGCTTTTTGCCTCATTTTGTTATGGCGGGAATCTTTGAGCAGACATCTTGTTCCAGCGCAGTGAGTACTGGCCATGGCTGCCACCTCCAACCAGGCCCCACAGGCCTCTGCAGAGCCCCAGGACCCAATTCCTCTGGCTGGATCCCCACAACCCAAGGCTTCCAGGCGCAGGTCCACTGCTGAGGTTTCTCCGGTTGAGCCCTTGTCTAAAGCTCCCAGGTCTAGTCACAGGTCTCCTACAGGCTGCCCAGCAGAGGAGGATGGTAGGGCCTCCCAAGTGCCCTCCAGGAAGGCCAAGGGAAAGACCAAATATGTGGAACTCCACCCTTTCCAACCTTGGAGGCCTGCAGAGTTGTCCTGATTCAGAGGATGAACTGTCCCCTGTGGCCTCCATCTTACAGCCTGAGGAGGCCAGGGGCTCAGATGGGCAGGTTCACAGTGAGGAGGAATCTAGCGATGACAGAAGTCTCACTCCTGATGGAGAACCTCTATTCCAGACTTTGGGCACCACTCCTTTTAGATCACTTCCTTACACACCAGATGTGACCATGATCATTTCCGATGCCATTGAACGTGGCATAGCAGTGGGCCTCAAGCACAGGTCTTCTTCTTCACATTCCACCCAACGCAGGTTGTCTTCTTCCAGCTCCAGACGTAGAGACTGTGACCTTTCGGCTTCTACATCACACGAGTTACCTGGCACTTCCAGCCAGCCATCTGTTTTCGGAGAAGAGGAATGTCCCTCCAGAGATTTGGATCTCTCTGAAGATGAGGACCTCCCCCCAGACCCACCTACATTTGTTGGCCTCTTTAAACCAGCTATTTTTCACTCTCTTCTATTTAAGGCAAAGAAGATTGCAGGCATCCCGGCTCCCAAGGCTCCTCAGGGCACCAAAGCAGACAAAACAGACACCACTGATCCTCTCTTCATTCAGCCCAAGGTGGAAAAGGAGGTGATTACATTGCCCAGACTCTTCATTGACGTGGTCCAGAATGAGTGGGTGTCACCAGGTACAGGTCCTGTCCCTAACACCTTGGACAAGTGCCTGTAAATGTGGGACTGGAACTCCCTAAGGTACTTGAGGTACCCTCCATTGACCTACCGGTGGTGAGTTTATCATCCCCTAATGCGGCATCGGCAGCTCCCGAGGAGACCTTGCGCCCTGAAGGCAAGCGGTTTGAGCAGACGCTCGTTAAGGGGCATCAGGCCGCTGCATGGGCTGTTCGAGCTGCTACATCGAACTCTTTCTTTAGCCGTTCTACTCTCCTGTGGCTCAGACAGCTCCAGGCAAGGATTTTCTCTAGGTATTCTAGATCTCGCAGGGATATCAACAAGATAAAAGCAGCCCTAGAATACACCGCCGACACATTGCTTCCAAATCCATAGCGTTCTCCGTCACACCCCGCCAGCTCCTCTGGCTTAAGCAATGGCAGGCTGAGGTCTGGGCAAAATGGAGGCTTGCCTCTTCCTCCAATCTTCTTTTCGGTCCACCTCTAGAGCCCCTCTTAGTGGAATCTAAAGACAAACAGAAGGTCCTCTAGACTGCCACCAAAAAACAGGACAATCTTAACCAATCCTGCTATCATAGGCAGTCATTTCAAGGGCAGGATGGGGGTTTCTCCAACTTCCATCCACAACGTCAGGCCCCTCCCAGAAAGAGACCCTCCTTCTCCAATAGAACTGGAAGAAACAATCAACGTTTCCCTCCCAGGAAGTCCTTCAGGGACAATTCCAATCGATCATTTAAGAGACAGAAGTGACTGCCTGGAGTCCCTCCCAATCTGGGGACGCCTAGCAGCCTTCGTGGATTGTTGGGATGACATCACCGACAATGTGTGTATCAGGATTCGGCCTAGCCTTGGACTTGCACTCCAGCCCTCCGAACCACTTTGTCATGTGCCCCATTTCAAGGGATCCTCACAAGAGGCTCCTGATGGAGCAGGCCATCCATCACCTGCTCCATATCCGGGCCATTCAGCCTATGCCTCCGGGCCAGGCAGGGCGGGGGTTCTGCTCTCGTCTCTTTAGCGTGTCAAAGTCTTCGGGGGGCTGGAGGGCAATCCTTGATCTCAAGTCCCTCAACAGATTCATCAGATACAGGAGATTCAAAATGCACTCTCTCCTATCCATTCTTGAGAGTGTCCGCAAGAACAATCTCCTCACCTCAGTGGACCTCATGGAGGCTTACCTCCACGTACCCATTCTCAAACAACACAGGCAGTTCCTGAGATTTGTTTACACAGGCAACCACTTCCAGTATCGGGCTCTCCCATTCGAGCTGTCTTTGGCCCCAAGGGTTTTCATCAAACTACTGGCGGTGATTGCTGCCCACCTCTGAGCCGAACCCATAAGGATATTGTGCTACCTGGACGACATCCTCTTGCTGTCCAGGTTGCACAACCAGGCTCTTCAGGACCTCCAGACCACTATCCAAGTCCTTCAGGATCAGGGCTTCTCCATAAATCGAGACAAGAGCCACTTACTTCCCATCTCTCGGTTGGTCCATCTGGGAGCCCTGATAGATTCTGTTCAGGGCTGGGTCTTCCTGTCCCTGGAACGGCAACTCAGCCTCAGAGATCTGGCCAATGAGGTGCAGAGAAAACAACAGGTTCCACTGATTCTACTGTCCCAGTTACTAGGGAAGATGGTCTCATATTTCTCCATTGTCCCATGGGCGCGGCTTCACAGCCGCTGCCTCCAGTGGTTTCTATTGCCATACCAGAAGACCAACAGCAGTTGCTCCTCAGTGAAGGTCAGGTTGACACCAGAGATCATCCTCTCCCTAGACTAGTGGGTTTCCCCGGCCATCTCCCAGGGGTCCCTCTTCAGGGAGCCCCCTCATCTCGTAGTCACAACAGATGCCAGTCTCACCAGATGGGGCACTCACCTGGACTCTCTTGTAGCCCAAGGTCTGTGGTCCAATTCTGACCTTGCCCACAGCATGAACTGGCTGGAGTTAAGGGCGATTCAGCTGGCCCTCCACCACTTCCAATCATCAGTATGCAACTCCCACATATTGATTCTCACAGACAACACAATGCCAAGGGGGGACGAGAGCCATCTCGTTAATGGACTTGGCCTTTCGCCTGGGAACCTGGGCGGAAGCCAACATTCACTCTCTGTGCTCCGAACACATTTCAGGCACCAACAATGTCCAGGCAGACTGGTTGAGTTGCATGACAATCGACTCTGCGGAATGGAGCCTGAACCACTAAGGCCCTTTTCATCTCTTTCCATCCCACCAAGAAAGGGCTTAAGGCTTCTTCTTCAATGATAGGGCGGTGGATCAGATCCGCTATATCGAGGGCTTACCTAGTACACCATCTCACTCCACCACCCAACATCACAGCACACTCAACGCACAGTGCGGCAACTTCGACAGCTTGGACGATACAAGCTTTGGTGGCGGAAATCTGCAGGACGGCCACTTGGACTACTCCATTTCCCTTTATCCGCCACTTCAAGGTGGATAGATACACATTGGCTGATGCAGCCTTCGGAAGGCGGGTTCTTCAATAGGTCCTCCCCTCTTCAGTCTCCTAAGCCGTTGCATTCCCACCCGGGACAAGCCAGGCTTTGATATATCCCATGCATGGCTGCTGTCTCCAACAACTTGGGAGAATGGGCATTAGTTTCTTACCTGATACACACCTTCTCTGGGCAGATGGAGACAGCAGCCACCCCCGCTCTATTATTCGTGTGGGCCTAGGTCACAGAGGTGCGGTAGTACAGGACATTGGAGGAACAACCACACGAGAGCATTCAGTTAGAGCACAGCAGTCTACTTATCTCCTTCATCAAGAAAGCGGGAGGACGCTCCTCAGAGGCTATGACGTTAATTTGGTAGACTCAATCCTAATGGTTACTGGCAGTGTTAACCCATGCATGGCTGCTGTTTCCACCTGCCCAGAGAAGGGGCGTATCAGGTAAGAAACCAACGCCCATTCTCTCTTGAACATCAAAATTTGTGATTGTCAAACTGTGCTAAGTTTATATCTCTTTTATATGGAATCCATGAGGATTTATTTAATAATAATAAATAAAAGTTATCCTTGTTGTTTGGTAACTTTGGCATATACATCTTGATAATCAGGCAGTACAGGTAGTTCTTGACTGACGACCACAACTGAGTCGAAAATTTCCATACTAAGCCAGTGCCTCATTTTATGACTTTTGTTGTCACAGTTGTTAAGTAAATCTGACTGCCCCTATTGATTTTCTTGTCAGAAGCCAACTGAGTAGGTTACAAATGGTGATCACATGACTCTGGATAGGTAACAAATGATGGTCACATGGCCTGTTGCCAAGGGCCTGAAGTTTGATCCTGTGACCATGGGGATGTTGCAACAATCATTAAGTGTGAAAGCTGATCATAAATCCTTCTTTCAGTGCTGTTGTAACTTTGAACAGTAGCTAAACAAACGGTTGTAAGTCAAGGACTACTGTATTTGAAAATGAAAACCACTGTATGAAATTGCAGAACACAACAGATCAAGTAATTCTCAACAACATTTAAGAAACCTCATTTCTAAATAAAATATTATGTATGCATATATAATCAATAAATATAAACCTAATAATTATGAAAACATTTGGAGTATGTACTCTACCAGGTCTATATGGCTTTCTCTTTCTTTTTTTGATCCCTTCAGTTGCTTCTATTCCCTTAGGATCATCATCTATAGGTTCTCGTTCAGGACTTGTATCTGATTTTCCTTCACAATCCATAAGATCTCCTTCTGAATTAAAACAAGTTAAAAAGTGGGGGAGAAAAAGATTGAAATTATTTATACACTTTTACTTAACCGCTCACATAAAAGACTCTTCAGTTACCTAAGAACCTTTTGAAAATAATCATAACAAAATCCCATTAAAATTGAATATTAACACAAAGAAACCCCTGCCCAAACACCAGGATTATTAAAAGGTAGAAAAGTTTAAATACTGTTATGGAGCAGGTCTACAAATAGTAAAAGAGAGGGAACCATATCACAGGGACATAAGTAAAAAAGTTTTATTTTATATTCCATTTTCTATTTGTGAGGCATCATGGTGTAGCAGTTAAGATACTGGACTGGGATCTGGGAAACTAGGATTGAGTTCACTTTTAATATTAGAAGCTCACTAACTTATTTAAGGCCAGTAACTTTCTCTCAGCAAAACCTACCTCACAGGATTGTCACTGTAGGGAGAAATAAGAGAGGGAGCAGTGTCACCTTGAGCTCCTGTACAAAAGTTGGCATATATAAATATTACTACCGCATTACATCCCAGAAAGCCTTCAGAGATCATAATGGATTAAATTAAAGCAAACTCAATTCAAGGCCAAACTCATGTTCAAATTAATTAAGGCTGTAAAGTCCCCAAACAGCACTGTTAATTGGCCCAGGATAATAACTAACACAGCGCTTTAAGTATTGGCTTGGCTTTTTCTCAAATTCATATATCAGATTTTAATTTTGCTGCTTCATCTAAACCCAGTGAAATTTTCATCCAGTATTTAAAGACAGCTTCATATAAAACGTGCTTCAATAAAGTATGAAAACTTATTTATTAAAGAAAACTGAAGCCAACTTTCTGAAGAAGCTTTGGAATGAACTTAGCTGAGGCAGCTGATAAACAGAGGCTGCTAAGACACAACTGGGCATTGTAATATAATGGTTTTATAGATATTAATAGGTATTTAAAATATTTAGGCATTAGATCAATGAATGACAAACTAACGATTCCTATATTAATGACTCTATAGCCCTGCTGCGCCAAGTTGATCTTTACCTCTCACACTGAGGAGGTGCAACCCATCTGGCCATAAGCAAGGCAGATTTATTGATTTAGAAAATTTATATAGCTGCCTATTCGCTCACAGCGACTGTAGGTGCCTTTTGTTGTTGTTGTTAGTTGCGAAGTCATGTCCGACCCATCACAACCCCAAGGACAACGTTCCTCCAGGCCTTCCTGTCCTCTACCATCCTCTGGAGTCCATTTAAGCTCACACCAACTGCTTCAGTGACTCCATCCAGCCACCTCATTCTATGTCGTCCCCTTCTTTTTTTGCCCGTCATCTTTCCTAGCTTTAGGCTCTTCTCCAGTGAGTCCTTCCTTCTCATTAGGTGGCCAAACTATTTGAGTTTCAACTTCAGGATTTGGCCTTCTAAAGAGCAGTCAGGGTTGATCTCCTCTAGGACTGATCAGACGCGCAGGAGTTGATATTTCTCTTGGGAATCTTAATTCCAACTTGTAATTCATCTAGCCCTGCCTTTCTCATGATGTGCTCTGCATGTAAGTTAAATAGGCAGGGCGACAGTATGCAGCCTTGCCAGACTCCTTTCCCAATTTTGAACCAATCAGTGGTTCTGTGTCCAGTTCTCATTGTTGCTTCTTGACCTGCATATAGGTTTCTCAAGAGACAAATAAGATGGTCTGGTACTCCTATCTTTTTAAAAACTTGTCACAATCTGTTGTGATCCACACAATCAAAGACTACAACATAGTAGATGTTGAAGCAGAAGTAGATGTTTTTCTGGAGCTCCTAGCTTTCTCCATAATCCAGTGTGATTATGGAGGTGTCTTACAAACATTAAAAACACAATCTAGAACGTGTTTTTTTTAAATACCCCTATTCACCCACTCCTGGCAATAGCAACTACTAAATAAGCCATTTGATGAGCTCAACCACACTCTGCGTTCTCCAGGCCCACTGGCAAAACCATGTCTTCAGGGCTTTCTGAAAGCCTGTCAGAGTGGGGGCCAGTCTAATTTCTGCAGGGATGAGGTTCCAAAGGAAGGGAGCCACCAGAGAGAAGACTCTTCTTCTGGGTCCCACCAGATGTACCTCCTTATGAGATGGGACCTGCAACTTTCCTCGTCTCCCTGCTCTAGTGGGTAGGTGGATGTGACCAGCAAGGGACAGTCAATCAGATACCAACTGATATGCCAAGCTTTCTTCCCAAGGATACTCATGCCATTGCCCATAGCGTGTTCCATTCTTACAATGTTTCACATGACTTCTGAAACTTTGCCATCATTATCTAAATCATGTGCCTCGTTCTTGTAACGCTTCAGAAAGCCTTCAGAAAACGTCTGGAGACATCTGAAGTATAGCAAAAATGGGCATGCACACTATGCATGATCAGCAGTTGGCATAGGTTGAGGCCAAGGGCATCTGGTCAGCAGTGGGAAGAAGATAACAAAGGTCAGATAGGCACGGTAGGGTCTGCAGAATGCACTGTGGCTGGCCAAGGCATAGGCTTGAGGTGCCACTCCTCACTCTGGTTGATGGCAGCAGAACTAAAGTAATGGGGAAGATGGCACTTGGCTGAGACCTCTTGGATTCTAACTCAGTCTCAGTGCTGCTCAGTTCAAACCTTTATTGTCAGAATACAACATGTGTACAATGGCATTGGCTGAGCCTCCCTTCAAGCCCCCTCAACACAACATAACTCACAGTGAAAGACAAGAATATTCCTAGCCCGGTGAATCTACTATCCTTTTGCACCATGTGAACTTATTGCACATCGTGCCAGCCCTGCAAGTCAATCGTACTATGTTGTTGTAGGGTTATTTTTCATTCAGGAGTCTGACAGCCCTTGGATAAAAACTGTTCTTCAGCCTGTTTGTGTGGCTGCCTATGCTTCTATCTCTCCTTCCAAATGATAGGAGGGTAAAGAAGGGCTGACCAGGGTGTGAGTCGTCCCTGAGGATTTTTCTCACTCTTCTAAGGCTGCGAACCCTAGTGAGGTCATCTAGTTGTATAAGCGGACAGCCCACAATGTTTTGTGCTGTGCTCACCACCCTCGGTAGTGTTTTTCTATCCGCGGTTGTCAAGCCAGCATACCACATCATAATGCAATGAGTGAGGATGCTTTCTATTGTGGACCGGTAAAAAGAGGTCATCAGTTGTTGTTTCACTTCATTTTTTCGAAAGACCCTAAGACAGTGGAGTCTCTGTTGGGCCTTTGTTGTTGCCATGGAGTGCCACTGTGCAGAGCACCAAAAGGGTAGAGATGGATATAGGTGGGAGGGAGTTGAAGTGCTAGGTGCCTCTGCTGTTATGGTGATGGGCCACCAAGCACCCAAATTTTGATCACATGAGTATGAAGTTGTTGCATTGCCTGTAACTTCAGAGACTGTGTGTAAACTAGAAGTGATTCAGCACCACAACTCTGAATTGTCACTGAATGAATGGTTATTAAGAAAGGACTACATATATGTAACATTCAATGTCTATTATAATAATATTTATTAATGTATTACATGGGGAGTTATTCCTCAATAACTACCGTAAGACTTGAAAAACTTCAGGGGATCTTATGTCTCTTTCTATTATATGATGTCATCACTTTAAAATTCTGAACTAGAAGTTTCTGCAGTAAGAAGATTGGAAATCCAAAAAGAGTAAGAAGAATAGAAATCCAAAATTCTATTTCTAGATTGAAGGAAATACTAACCAATGATGAGAATGCTACCTAACAGTGACAAGATATTTTTCTCACTTTCTTCTTATTCAGCTATGGTTCTCATACTAATACTGCAATATTAAGTTTTTCTATATTGTTTTATCATCTGATCTTGGACCAAAGTAATATTCTGTTGGATAGACAATGCTTGGGATTGAACTTGAGATCAAAGAACAAAGCATGCTGTGGCAAATATGTTTCTTTAAAACCTCATGTAATAGTTTGCTTCCTCTATCACTGTCCTTTAACATTTCACTCTATAGCATTTGCTACAGAATGCATTGGGGTATTTTTTTAAGTAAATTAATCTGCAAATGAGAAAGTTAGAAAGAAAGTTGTTATAAACCAATAATCAGCATGCTTATTTTAGGATATGACATTCAACCATTTTTCTGATTCAGATTTATGGTATCATTAATAATTTGCATACACTTAACACACCATTACACACTTGCAGACAAAAGTTCATTAAATGATATATGATAGTATATCAAAAACATTCTTTGCTGTGTAATATTAGTGAACTCATATATTTCAACAAAGAATAGCAAATACCAAAGTATAAAATTGATCCACTGATATTATGAGTTTTAAATACTTTGTATTTTTCAATGCATTTAATGTCATAAGTAGCTATTATGAAAAACTGGAACTTCCAACTTCCTGCTTTCTTTCCTGTTAACTTTGTTTCTGGCAAACCAGCAAAAAATATCAAAAATTGCAGTCATGTGATTATGGCTCACTGTGATGTCATAACTGCAAGCTGGGCACCCAGATCACAGTCACCATTAGGGACACTGCGACAGCCAGAATTCCAAGGACCCATCTAAGTATCCCAAATTTAGAGCTGTTGCAATTTGGAATGATTGTTGAATGAATGGTCATAATCCAAGGATTACCTATATTCAGGCAAATAAAAATTATACAGTGACACTCACTCACTCAGATCTGCTACCAATATAAGCACCATTTTGATCAAGTATATAGCCCAAGTAAATAGTCTTTCTCTTCCTCTCCTCTCTTGGGCATTTGCACAGTTGTCACCCTGAGGCAGAAACAAATCTTGAACTTTTCCCAGGTCAACTAATATAATTTTAAAGCTAGCTATCATTCCTGTAACAATGCCTTCTGCTTTGTGCTTTGGATTTGTTCCGTGAATTCCTTCTTCTTCCAGAGTGCACCAAGGGACATTCAATTTAACCAATAATTCAATAAAATGGGAAGAGAGCATATAATAATCACCTCTACTGTCATCCATCTCACCATCTCTTGAATGTTCTGATTGGACATCAGGTGGTGTTTGAAGTACAGCGACACTATTCTGGTTTATAATCTTCAACTTCAGCTTTGGCTTTGCCCTTTTCCTTCTTGGTACAATAGCACTGAGGCTCTGTAACTGAGACATCCCTGTTTCGGTCAAACAGACACCATCCTGAGTGTACGTCTTCGGTGGGTCTATAAAATTGGGTGAACCACAACAGGAATTTACACTTTTAATAATTTTGTTTATAAGTACAACACCTGGATTTTAAAAATATACCATATCAAAATAGACCATTAATATACCATGGAAGACTATCTGTTCTGTTCTATTCTATTCTATCCATCCATTCATCTATCTATAAATGGCTCTGTGTGTGTGTGTGTGTGTGTGTGTGTGTGTGTGTGTGTGTGTGTGTGTATGTGTGTGTGTATATTCCAGCATAACTCTGGAATGCAATTTCAATCAAACCTGGTACACAGATGACTTACGCTCTGGAAACAAATATTGTGGGGGTAAGACACCCCTAAGACCCCTCAAAGTGTGTGTTCTATTACAATACAGCCAGTTGTGCCTTAAAAAGGCTTCTACTGTACAGCATAGTAGAGTTGCCATGGTAACGGCTTCACAGTACTTCACAAGGAGGCTCCCTCTTGCAAGGGGGAAAGTCCAACATTAGAAATTACTCTTGGTCCAGACATTTTCCCCCTATATTTTCCCCCGGGTTATCAACTAGTATTAGATAAAGAGAGAACACAGCATAATTATTTTAAAAGAAAACCAACATTATAATTATATTATAATTATAATATTTTACGAAGAGTCTACTCCATACATTATTCAACTCAACATATGTAAGTGAAGAGATACACAGAGAATAATAAGTTCTACTATAAATAGATTGGGGAAAGATAAAGACTGAATAAATTACCCCAATTTTTGTCAAATTACATCTGCCTTTCAAAGACCATATTTAAAAGGGCAAGCAGAGAAAGGTCTGCCTTCATCTTTATGAGTAAAATCTTTTGCTCACTTAAGCAATTTAATTTCCATTAAGGAGGACTTGAACATTTATTCATGAAAGGTATCAGCTGGGTTTAAAAATGAATAAGGGAATAGCTAACAAAAACCAGCTATTAAAATCAATTATATTGATTATATAATTTTAAGGCATAATTCTGGCTTCAACAGTGAATTAGTAGAAATAAAGTTAGATGGAGAGAATGAAGAATTTTAATGATTACCAAGTTCCTTTGCTTTTAATGGAATTTGGGCTGCAATGGATGATTCACAAAATTCAAAGGAAGGCACTAGAAAAAGGAAAAATAAACAATTAAAATTATCATTTAATTAAATGTTATGAAGTCCTCAAAATCAATATTTTGATACTGAAATATTCATTAATCTGTAGTTTTCACATGTTTGTTACTCCAAACAATTTGTTTTTTTAGTTTATTTTTATTAAAATTTTCACATAATATCTTTTCTAATAACACATCCTTAACATAATTGACAACTTAAAGGAACAACAGAATTTTAATGTCATTTTCTATTACTGATCATACAGCACTAAGAAAATATCTGGACAAAAGACAACACTGTCTCTTTTGTTAACGCAACATCTGTCAGAGAGAAGCTTTACAACAAATCCTACTGTGCTGTTATTAGATAAACAGGAGGTGAATTTACCATTTGCTGATGGCATATACGGTCTACACATGGTGCAGTCAAAACCATTATCTGCTGTGTTTTCCACTTCTTCTTCTGTGTTTAAATTTTGACAGACAGTGTGCATCCATCTGAAAGTGAAAGCATAGATGGCAAAGGAGTTGACTGAAACGCATGCAATGTTATCATGCAATATAAATATTGTCCTCACAGAGAAATAAATTCCTGAAAAACCCAGATGATGTTTAATAAAATTAGTTATTAAAATTTCCTTTTGGGCCGGTTGGTTGAGCTAGGGATTGCTATATAATTCCAGCATTCTCAAATATGTTTCAAAATGTATTTGAAACAATCTGTTTTGATAAACAAAGTTCTTTGGTTCAGGATCCAGTGATGGATGATTGATATCAGGAAGCTTTTTGAAACTTAATCTGAAGGAGCTAGTACAGCTCCATTTTTGAGATTTAGTAGATGCACTGACATCCAGGATGGCTTTGATAACTAGGTCCCTGGGACTGGAATGAGGTCATTTAGTTCCATTTCTTGTCTACGTTGATAAGTTAGGAAGATTATGAAGAAATGTTGGACATAAAAAAGATAAATCCAAGAGGGTCTTGCTAACTTTAACTATTATTTTCTGAGTTATGTAAATATTTTAAATTCGTCTGATTTTTTTTATGTTCAAGGGATTGCTGTTTAATTCCATACTATACTGTACCACTGGAAGACCTGAAGGATCAGGTTAATGACACATCATGAAGAAATCTATTTGTGTGACTGTGAAGAATCAGTCAATAATTAAGGGTTACTTAAAAGAATATTGTTCAAAATTTCTTCAGGTTACAAAAGAATTTGAGAAATATCCTCATGTCAATACTATATAATGCTAATAATATGACTGAGAAAGAAAACAGTTTGTTAAAAACTATGTTATAGATTAGGTACCAGAAACTAATTTGGAGAATCATTTTGATTAAAAAAAAAATCAAAATTCATCCCACAAATATAAGGGAACACAGTATGAACAAGCAAGTAAAAAAAATATTCATTCCCAACATAAAAGAAATTTTAACCTGTCACACTGTCTGCACTGCACAATAAGCTCTTCTTCTCTGTAATTGCAACAGCAGACTGGGCAGGTGGATAAACTTGCACAAGGAGCACACTGTGTGTAATTATTTTGCCATTCACATCTTAAACCAGGAGAAGTAGCTCCACAGTGTCTGCACCAAACACACCTTTAAAACACAAGCACATGAATAACATTTAGTTTGTATTTACATTGCCATTTGCTTAGATTTCTGTTCTATCCAATGAACAAAACATTAACCCATTCATTCATACAATAGATAAGATTATGCAAAATGTCGCCACTAAAGAGACTCTATTTAAATGAATTTTAGAATATAATGTACTATATGGAGTCCTTGGTATTCTCTGAGCTTGATTGTTTTCTTGCAAATATTTCATTACTCAATTAGGTAACATCTTTAGTGCATCTTCACTGGAGATATTCTCTAATTGAGTAATGAAACATGTCCAAGAAAATAACCAAGCTCAAAGATCATCAAGGACTCTATAGTTCAACCTTGAGCTACAAGTATACTCTTTTAATAATGTACTATGCGGCTGCAACTGTTCTTGGTTGTCATGGCTACCAGGACATTCTAAGTCACCCCAGATCCAATGGCCCGAATATGTATGTGAAAAGGCAGGATGCATCTTCCAAGTCTTTTAAGAACCCTAAGTCCAAAGTGTTTGCAAATTAATTCTCAATTTCGGCTCCTACATTACTCTGCTTGGGAATGTCAATTACTGAAGGGCATGTATGATTTCCCCACTCGTATTATTCGAACTTTAATTTAAATCTGCTAATACTTTATGTACTGCAGTTAGGCATCTTCCAATAGTTCACCGAAATGCATGTTTAAATTTCAGGCAAACACCCCCCCCCACACACACACACATAAATAAGGTGGTCTATAACCATGATAAAGATTTGATTTAAACTCAAAAAATATAAAATAAAATAACAACAACAGTAACAACATTTATAATAATAATAACAAAATGAGAAGGTCTTGTGGGACTTTAGAATACAAACGGATTGTCATTTGGAGAACAACACGCCAGATATCACGGTTGTAGAGGGGCGAAGTGTACAGTTTATTGATATCACTGTTCCTGGAGATGCCAGAGTCGAAGAAAAAGAACTAGAAAAAATAATGAAATATTGCGACCTGGCCATCGAAACTACACAGCTATGGATGAAGCATGTAACAGTGATATCCATTGTCATCGGGGCACCTGGCACCATGTCCAAGAATTTTACAAGATACATCAACAAATTGCAGCTTCCTGCAATAACACCAGCGGAACTGAAAAAAACTGTGCTACTCAACACATCTTTTAAGAAGGTACTTGGTTGATACCCAGCAAACCGTATCAAGCATTAGCACCAGTCACTGGTATTTGTAATGCATTTTTGAATGTTCAGTTGGCTGAGTTTCATGTTTAATTAATAAAGTATATAATAATAATAACAACAACAACAACAATAATAACAATAGAGAAACACACACCATTTACACTTCCAACCTCCTTTGGGAACTGTCTGTAGTGGTGGATCCAGGCAGTAAGTGTGGTAGCTGATATCACAGTCATCACAAAGAAGTAACCTTCCTGGATCTGTAGCCTTTCCACAGGCTTCACACACAGTACACTCCAGACATCTCCAACCCTTGTGGAGCACCACTTTTGTAATCTATATCGAAGAAGGCATGCAATTAAAATTCATAAAAATTCAAATTGTCAGTTCTAGGGATGACAAATATGTCACAGTTTTCCAAATAGCTTTTTAAAAAAAAAAAAAAAAAAAAAAAAGACTGTTTCAAATTGGGGGGGGGGGGGATGCATTTAATGTTATTGCCTTTCGTTGGATGATGATAGCCTAGGATCCCCTAAACATCATTCAAATGACATTATTTTCTGTGGCAATTGGATATTCAGTCATATGATAGCTGGGAATTCTGGGAATTGAAGTCTACACATCTTTAAGTGACCAAGAGTGAGAAAATTGGAGACAAAAGGTTTCCATGTCTACTATATTGCCTATACTCAGAAACACATCACTTGTGTTATATAAAATTGCAAAATTTTAAAGTGCTTTAATCACTTCCTAACCTGTCAATCAAGGGCACTTTAAACGTTGAAAGCTTTTGTGATTATGCCAAATTATTTAAAACAAGTTACAAAAAAAAACCCCTTCAAAATATTTGTCATTACATTTGTTGAAATGTATTTAAATCATTTTTTAAAATTTGCTAAAAAAATTGAATCATACATGTTAGTTAATTGGGCTTTTGGGTTAGTTATTTGGGGTTTTGATTTCCAAGACCAATTAGAGTATCTTTTACTGGCATTCCTTTACAAAGTGTTTCAAATGTATATTCTTCTAAAATGCAATTTTTTTCCACGAAATGTAGGTAGTTTTTAAATTAAATGGTCATATGTATGGGAAAATTGTTACTGTAAACTAAGTGCATTTGAAAAAAAATTTATATCTTATATAATAGCAAATAATTTATTATTTTTGCATAAATCTTTAACAATCCAGATTTATTGATAAATATAAAACATTAAATAAATACAGCAGTTATTGTTAATCCCAGCAAAGGGCAGTTATATATATTATATTTAATATATAACATTATAGCAACGATATTATTAGAATTTATAACTGCAAAATAACTTGTATAGTATATACAAAGCCATTAAAGTATTTTGCAAGCTGCTAACAAATTATAGACAATTTTTTTCAAAGGATTATTTTAAAATATTTTTAAAAATCTTAAATGGCAGATATAGAAGATGAAGATACTGATGTTTTTATTACTGGCCATTATTAAATTTTCTCAAGTGGCTACAATACAGATAAACCTTAACTCTAATGCATCCATCTGGCCCAATAGGACAGGAAAGCAGGGTATGTTATGGATCTCATTGATTAGGAATGTACATCTGGCAAAAATGGCCTTCTCAGTGGTGACCCCTTCCTTATGGAATATCATTTCTCCAGGATAGAGCTGTCCCCCTCAGTTGCTTTTCCAAAAGGTCTTAACAACATGACTTTTGTCAGCAGGCCTGGGGATCATGCATAGAGACAAAACTGAAGAAGTGGTAGATTTGATTGTATTGTGGCTGCTATGGGTGATGGGTGATGATTTTTATTATATGGTGGATTTTTAAAAATGCTGTAAGATGCCCGGAATTACCTAGGGGGAGGCTGGGTGGCTATATAAATTCATTAAATAAATTAATTAATCAAGTTGAAATCTAAAAATTAAAAATGAATTTATCTGACTAATTATTAAAACAAATGTATCAGAGACTGATGTTTTTGAAAAGAAAACAAAGCATTTCTCAGCTTAGCAAGGTGTGCATACTAGAGACCTGTGGAAGCTACAAGAAGAGCTCAGCTCTAAGTCCCTGTGAAATGACTTCCATGGGATCATCAGGGTAGGATTATATAAAAGGGAATGTTCTCCCACAGGTAATCTAGACCCAAGTGACACAGGGCTTTTAAGGATAAACAGGTATGCAAGCATGGGTATTTCAAAACACTCACCTTAATACCCACACAGAACGGATGATAACACTGACCACACTGTGAGCAGGCTAGTAATTGGCCTTCTGCACCTTGTCCAAAACTCCCACAAACTACACACATGTCCTGGAATATCAAACAGGTATCTTCAAATAAAAGACAGCATTAGGCATTCCAACTCCACTCCCTCCCCCAAGAGCATCTGATGATTATCTATCTTCTACCCTTTTTAAATTTTTCTTATGTCCTTACAGAAAATTCATGGGTATAGTGCTTACTTATTAGCATAATCTATATATACACTTATTACATTCTCAATAGTATTAGTAAATTTTATTGTAAAATTTTCACATTTTTGTGAAGAAAATTGATTTTAGACCCAAGAAAATCACAGAGACACTAAAACCCTTTTCAATCTAATTAAGTTCTTTTTTAATATTCAAAAGAACAATGGTTTAAATAGAAAGGCATATTGCTGATCTACGGGTAAAGAAAATCAGAATTATGGAGTGAGTTGTTATGATCAAGAAAGCCTTTTTTTCTTCCGCTCTAATGTATCTGTGAGAAACGTAAAAAAGTAAAATCTGTGGAACCAAATCACAGACTTAGTAACACTGTCATGGTAAAATGCATCAGTGTTTAGGCAAAGATTTCATAACTGTTAACATTTCCATAGATGTAGAAAATATACAGGGGCAATAGAATTGTTTTTGCATCTTTTCAGGGAAGACAAATGAGCAGCTTATCAGAATTTCAGAGGAAAGAAATCGGACAACTATTCATGATAATACACGCCTAATGTCAATCCATCCCCCTTTCCTAATACACAGAGGGCCCACCAACACCCTCTTCCCTTGGGTGGACTGTGAAACGTAACGTCCTAGAACTGAATGCCTTCACATTCTCTCATTTTAACAGGTGCCTGGAATTTTGTAACCTATTTATTGCCACCGCTAGGGACTTGGCAGGGGTGGATGGATGAGAAGAGATTTTGGTTTGATTACTCTCCAAAAAAAAGTCTAGATGGACAGACAGACAGACGGATGGACGGACGGACAGACAGACACACAGATTTACACAGAAAGTAACAAAGTACATCTGAGTATTACAACCTGATGTAAAGTAAACTTGTCACTGCTAGAGAACAGGACAACTGTATTATGCATTGAGTTTTCTTCTTCATCTTTGTTGGATAAGTTATCCATATCTGTGACCTGCAAAATAGAACAGAAGAATTAAATGGGGTACTGTAATAATTTAATAACAGTTTTTAACTGTTACACAATAGACCATAAATTATTTGAGATGTAGACATGTGAGCCATACGCATTCAAAATATTGCATCCGTCTTCCACTGAAGAGAAAAAACTACCATACGCAGCCCTTCCACAATTTTAATTTCAGTTATATACTAGACAGTCTATGACCCATGGATCATCCTTTCAGAGATACTTCTTTTTCCTCAATGCTTTCAACCATGACAGACCTTCTAATATACAGTGGAAAAACTGGGATATATTCAGAGATGTATCTGCCTTGAAAACAGCCCATTTTAAACTTCATAGCAGTCAAACATCAGCACAGAAAATGTTTTATGACATTTTGTATTATGGCAACAACTATTTTATGAAAAGTCAGCAATGACTTTTATCAGGCTTTGTTTGGGCTAATTCACTTAAGAGGCTATGCCATAGAGTCTTACCCCTGTAGCAAGAATTGATCCTATTCCATTCTTCAATTTTGATCTCCCTCGCCCACCTCTTCCAGAAAGTCCTGCACCTCGTGGTCTCCGCTTCCCTGGAAACCCCGATCCACGACCCTATTTAAATACAGAACAATTGAATTAATCCTTGCAGATTAACAACTACAGTAATATATTTATTACTGTAGTATTACTGTAGTATTACTGTAGATAGCCTATAGGCAGTGGTTCACTACATGTAACTAAAACATTGACTCTGCTTGTCAGAAGTTTGCAAAAGGTGATCACATGTCCCTGACTGCAATCGACATAAATACATGTCAGTTGCCAAAAATCAAATTTTTGATCATCCACGTGACCTTGGAGATGCAGCCACAGTTGCACGTGTGAAAAACAGTAATAAGTCACTTTTTCAGTGCCACTATTACTTTGAACAATCACTAAACAAAAGATTGTAAGAAAAGGACTATCTATACAGGTGAATGACTGCGATAAAGTTAACTGAAGATTAATTACCACTTTGATGCTCCAAATAGCACTGCCAGGTAGTTGTCTAGATTTAAATGCTTCTCGACCCTCTAAAATATCCTGGGACCAGGAAGGTGGGCTTGCTGTATTATGGCTATTCCAAGTACCCTAAATATGTAAGAGGAGAAAATAAATGTATAAAACATTCACATATATAAATGATGAAGATCATGTTTGAATGAAGATAGATAAGTGGTTGAAGATAAAAATATAAAAAAACATAGATAGGAAAATAAACAACTATTGAACAATAAAAAGATGCCATTGAACTTTGGTTATAACTTTGATTTTTATAAGATGTATGACTTCGGGGAATATTTTGCCTATTGTTATATAAAGATCTTTAATCTCTTAAAATCAGACTTTAAGAGACAGTAGATAAGATAACTTGAAACAAAATTATTAAGCAGGGTTATTAAGAATAGCAGACAAAGAGTATTTAAAATAAAAAATGCCCTATGAACATGAAAGACAAGAGGTCAGTTTAGATATCTCTGAGTAGCATGTGGCTTAAGCATTATTTTTAATACATATGTAACTACTAAGTTTATATATCAAATAAAATTGATAATAATCATGTATACTTTTATTACATATCTTAAAAGTAAGCAATATATATTATTAAACACCATTCAGAAATATCATATGGAAGACTCCATCCCTCACATTATGCCTGAAAGCCAAATTCTGAGATAGAGAACTCTCCAAGGAACAAACAAATCTATTATCCCCTAACTCCAACCCTGATAGAAATCTTTAAAATAATTGTTTCTTACAAAAATTTATCAGACTTACTACAAGTGTATGTGTGGAAATAAGCAGCAGAAAGCAGCCAGGAAGGAACATTTTTATCCAGAGTGGTGGGTAGTGAGTAAACAGTTTACGAGTATGTGAATGCTTGGGTGTGTGGTCTGGAGACCTGTATGGCTCTTTTGCCATCTTTCTTCTCTTTCCCTCCAAAGCTACTCTTCTCCCTCTTTTTTAATGCCTTTCCTCTTGCTGCGGCTTCAACATTTCCATAATAATATTGGCCCAAGTACTTGAGCCTTGCTCCTGTTCTGGCCGTCTACCTTATTCTTTGGCTTAACTACAGGCACAAGGCAGATACCTAACTCTACAAAACAGCAGCCTCTTCTATGTCTAAGGGAGGAGCTGCCCCTTCTACCTTTTCCATCACTGTTTGTTTGGTATCGTTTCTAATGAAAGGTCTGGTTTCTATAGCCAGGATGTTGCCTTTTGCTGCAAAATCCGAGCTCTACGAGGGCAAAGCTCCCTTTCTTTTAATATTAGTATAGCCTTTATTGTCATTGTACAAAATAAAGATAATGAAATTGGTTTTAGCCTCACTGGTGCAATCACATGACAACAAATACAAACAACATACATAGTATAAAGAATAATCCCAATGCAAGTAATTAGGGGGAAAGAAAAAAAGAAAAAGAAAAACTAGTGGTTGTGTTTAAGAGTCTGACAGGCCAAGGATAGAAACTATTTTTAAACCAATTTGTTCGGCTGGCTATGCTTCAATGTCTTCTGCCCGATGGTAGACGTGCAAAGAGACATTGACCAGAGCGTGAATCATCTCTGAATATCTTCCTTACTCTGCTAAAGCAGCAAGACCTGGGGATGTCATCCAGTGGTGTTAGAGAATAACCAATGGTTTCTTGTGCTGAATTGATAACTCTTTATAGTGCCTTCCTGTCCATAGCAGTTAAACTATCATACCATACTGTAATGCAGTATGTGAGGACACTTTCTATGGTGGACTGATAGAAAAAGGTCATCGGCCGTTGTTCCACTTGATTTTTTCGCAGGACTCTAAGGAAATGAAGTCTCTGTTAGGCCTTTCCAATCACCAGAGACGTGTTGTTTTTCCAGGTGAGATCTTGACTAATAAGCACTCCCAAGAATTTAAAAGAGGAAACCTTCTTCACTCAGCCCCCCTCGATATACAGTGGGGCAGGTTCCTCTCTGTGCTTCTGGAAATCTAGCACCATCTCCTTTGTCTTACTAGTATTTAGATGTAAATTGTTTTTTGACCACAATGCGGATGCTTCTGGACTTCTTCCCTGTATGCTGATTCATCCCCTCCAGTTATGAGACCCAGAACCGTTGTGTCATCTGCAAACTTTCTTATGATATTGGATGGATTAGAGGATATGCAGTCATGTGTATACAACAAGTACAGGTAGGAGCTGAGCACATAGCCTTGAGGGGAGCCTATGCTGAGCCACAGCATGGAAGATGTAAAGGACCCAACCCTTACTGTTTGTGGCCGATCCATCAGGAAATCTTTGATCCATTCACAAATGGGGGGGGGGGGGCAGGTCAGTCAGCTTTTCAATGAGAATGCCTGGTAAGATGGGGTTCAAGGCCAAGCTATAGTCTATAAAAAGCAGCTGAGGCTTTCATTCATTTCATACAGAAAACTTAATGAATTTCTTGAGTGCTCATCTCTGTTTCAAAGCCAAAGAGCCAGCGCTGTCCGAAGAGGTCTCCATAGTCATGTGGTCAGCATAACTAAATGCCAAAGGCACACGGAACACTGTTACCTTCCCACCAATTGTGGTCCCTATTTTTCTACTTGCATTTTACATGCTTTCGAACTGCTAGGTTGGCAGAAGCTGGGAGCTCACTTTATTATGCAGCGCTAGGGATTTCAACTGCCAAACTGCCAACCTTTCTGATTGACAAGCTCAGAGTCTTAGCCACTGAGCCACCACGTTCATGCACTTTATACATAAACATTGCTATTATTCAGGCCTGATCAGTAGACTAATTCCACTCAGTCTTTAAGTTTTTCAGAGAAGAGTATTCTTTTTAGAACCATGCATTCAAAAGCATATGATATCATTTAATAAGTTAATTTTATGATGATCTCTTTTTAAAGATATTATTTAGAATAGCTTCCATCTTCTGATGAAATACCAACAAAATGGAAGAAACAAGATTTTACATTGTAAATTTTCTGAGCTTTACTGGTACAATAATCTTGATTGATAGATAATTCAGACATGTGTAATATAGGATAGTATCTGGCCTGGCATGGAATAACAAGGCATTAATCTTCAATTCATAAACATTGCAATAGACTCATATCAAAGTTAAAAAATAATGGAGTAGTACCTTCTTTATAAATTAGAAGTAGGGGAAAAAAACAAGCAAGTGTAGTTGAAGCATTATGTATATTTATAGTCATTTAGTTTAGTGCTCACTGAGCATTAATGAAACAAGGAAATAAGATTTATTAGAAAGTAAAACTACCGATAAATTCATCATATCGCTAGTGAAATTATTTTTCTTTACAAGCAAGATGATGGGTTTAAAGAAACGAGTTAAATAGGTTGTACTACAAATCTTTGTGATCGTAGCTCTATAGTAACTGCAAGAAATAAAGGCTTGCTCTATATATACTGAAAGAGCCTAAACAAAAAAAATAATGAAAAATATGTTTTCCGTTGCGGAAAAAAAACTCATGCAAAAAACCAATATAGAAAGCTTTGAGAAAAACCAGTAAACAATTATCTCTAATATGCTAACAGAAAGCAACAGCAGGGGAAAAATAATGTGATTCATATACTGCATTTCAGATCTGAATTGAAAGAGGTTTTTAATTTGGTCTGTTTTCAAAATGCTATTAGCTTAGAGGAGTTTTCCATTTATTACTATAAATATTTGTTCCTTTATAATTATTGGTACAATAACATACTCAAATACCACGATTGCTCTTTCAAAGGGAACAAACATCAATTCTATTATTTATTTTATTTTTATTCTTAAATTTATTTGCTGTCCATCTTACCACAAGGCAAATCTGGGTGGCTTAGAAAATGAAAAGAAATAAACATACAAATATATATATATATATAGCAATAAAATTATAAGTTACAATAAAAAGATGGGGACCCATAGTCAAAACATTACATTATTACAGGTAGCCCCTGACTTATGGGCACAATTGAGCCCAAAATTTATGTTGCTAAGTGGGAAAGTTATTAAGAAAGTTTTCCTCTATTTCAACTTTGTCAGATCACAAAAGGTGATCACATGATCTCAGGATACAGTAACCATCATAAATATGAACCAGTTGCCAAGTTTGAATTTGGATCATGTGATTGTGCAATGGTCGTTAAGTGTGAAAAACATTCACAAGATATTTTTTCCCCAGTATTGTCGTATCTTCAAACAGCCCCTAAACAAACGGTGATACTTCCTGTATTAGGTTGCAATGAGTTTTAGCAAATACGCTTACCTGTCTTGACCTTGGTCTCCCGGGAGAAAACTTTCTTTTAGTGATAGCAGGTTTTCCCATTCCAATTTTTGGAGTGAGGGATACAAATGTGGTTGGAAGGACCGCAGCAGACTCTAATGGCGACATCTGACATCGCAGCATATCATGGGATGCACTTGGCTCTAATGAAGATGTTGGCAAGGAGGATCCATCAACAGGTTTGCTTATTTCAACAGAGGATGGGCGTGGGGAAAACATCTTGGGCGATGGTTCGGAAGGCTTGTCTGCCAATTGGCAACTCTCAGTTGCACAATTTTCACTTTGAGGAAGAGGTGACACTTCAGGAGTCTCTCTTCCGTTTGTACTTTCTAGAACTGCTACTGTTTCAGACTGTTCTTCCTTAGGACTGGAGATTGGCTCTTTGCCGACCAAAATGAAAGTTTCAGGTATCTTGGATTTATTCTCTGGTTCCATCTGAAGAAGCTGACATTCCTCCTGGGGCACTTCCACCAACTCAGTGCTTGTCTCTGATGGTTTTGTTTCTTCAGCTTGTTTATCTGATTCTTGCTGTGTTATTTCTGGAATATTTTCTGGGGTTTCCCTCTTTTTATCAGAGAGATTGCTATCAGACGCAGGAGTATTTTTAACAGAAGTTTCCCCTTCTTCTGTATCAAAATGATTGGAGACCTGGGTCTCCAGTTCGTATTTCTTTTCATCTAATGAGAGGCCTGAAACAAATGTGGATACAGTATTTTAATCTCATATGATGGTATTGCAATAGAAAGTGACATCCTTTCAAAAATATTTTTTTTTCCTTGAAAATTTGGAAGTGGAAAGCAGATAAATGTCTAACCTGACTGCTTTTGAACTCTGAATTTTAATTCTGTTACTCTCTATGAAAACATGATTCCAGTTAGCATCTTGCTGTTAATAATTGGTAAATCTATCCCTTCACATATTTATCTAACCTAAATATAAATTTTCTTATCACAACTTAAAATAAAAATCTACAATCTATATACCACATAATATCTTTTATCTTTAGATACCAAACACATGTCCATTCAATTAAACAGCCCAGACCTTTACCAATAATAAAAGGGGGAACATTTTCTATTAAAATAAAATAATTGTATAAATTTATGTCATGTCCACGCCTCCTTTACAGTGGTAGTTTTTGACTTACAATCATAATTGAGCTCAAAATTTATGTTGTAAACAAGACAGACGCTAAATTTCACACCATTTTATGACCTTTGTTGCCACAAGTATTAACTGAGTCACTGCAGTGGTTAAGCAGGTAACATGGTTGTTAAGTGAATCTGATTTCCCCAGTGACTTTGCTCGTCAGAAGGTTGCAAAAGGTGATCACATGACCCTGGGACTCTGCAACCATCATAAATATGAATCAGTTGCCAAGCATCCGAACTTTGATCATGTAACCATGGAGATGCTACAACGGCCATAAATGTGAAAACTATCATCAGTCACTTTTTCAGTGTTGTTATACTTTCAAACAGTAACTAAATGAAATAAACAGTAAGTCGAGAACTACCTGTATAAGAATATATAACTAGAATATAATATGTTTCTTTGAATTATTGCAGACTTGCAGTTTTCTTGGCAAGATCTTGGCAGAAATGTTTTGCCATTGTCTGCTTCTTAGGACTAAGAGCAACTGATTGGTCCAGGTCACCCAGCTGGCTTTGTGCACAAGCTGGGATCAAAATAAAAATATCCTGGTTTCTAGCCAGTGCCTTAAGAGCTACAGCAAACTGGATCGCATAATACAAACATGATATTTTTCTTCTTATTAGCCCAGAATACTTATAAACTTTAGTATCAAATTTAGCAAACTAGAAATTCTCAGTAATCAACATTTTTAAAGAAATATTTCATCCACGATTAGACAAATACAGGTGCTTTTTTGTTTACATTATCACATTTGTATTAAATTTGATGAATTTTAAGTTATCATAATTTAAAAAAGAAAACATATATCATGATGAACAATTAGCTGACATCCAAGGGGAGCCCTGATAGCGCAGTGGTTAAAGTGAAATATTTCAGGCAAACTCTGCCCACAGCCTGGAGTTCAACTGTGAAAGGGCTCAAGGTTGACTCAGCCTTCCATCCTTCTGAGGTTGGTAAAATTTGTTGTGGACCAAATGCAAATAATTCTTATACCGCAACCCTGCCCAGAGAGTGCTGGACAATGCTAGGGGCCAGTAAATAATTTGGCCACTAAATGCTATTGCTATTCAAGCAATCTTTCAGATCTTGTAGGCTGAAACTAATAAAATATTTTATTTCAGTATTCTTTATTAATCTGCCTCGCTCAGAAACAGATCTGGGTAAGAACCTATTTGTTTATTGGGACAGTTTTAATTGAATTGTGACATTTCAGATTTATGTTTCATAAACTGGCATAATTTAGGAAATGAGAATTTCTTAAAGGTCCTATTCTTACTTTTAAAAAATTCTGCTTTAATTCTAATATGAAATAATTATTTTACAAAATTATGCAATGCCACTCATTCACATTTATATATCATTAGAAAAAAATAAATCTGAAAAAAGGAGACCAAAAAAATGTTACTAACTCCACTGATTAAAAGCTGTGTATTTTTCTGTTTTATATTTCTTTCAGTTATATCTTTTATCTCTGATCTTTGACTGTAATAAAGAATTGGTGTTATATTATATATTTCATCAGAAGATTGCAGGGTGGATAGCTATACAAAACACACATCTGCTTCTTCTATAACCTTTAGGAACTCTGTATTCCAAAACCCCTATTATTGTAAACAGAAAATGCACTGCTCAAATGTTGTTACATTTTCCAAATATTCTAGAATTCTGACCATATTTTATATACATACATATATGATCTTGTGCTGTCAAAGAAAGGGCAGTATCTGTAGAAGTCTCAACCACCAATTCTTGATCAAGGCCACCTTCAGGTACTAACGGCTTCTGATTTCCTATGTCTTCTGAATCTATGTTTTCCATTTCTATGTCATGTGCGCAGATATTAAAACAAAAGCAAAGACATTATCAAGCTTGTACATTTACTAATTATTTTTCTCATTCGAACCATGGGGAAAACTTCTACTCTGAACAGTGTTCTTATGTTAGGTTTCTACATAGTGAAGAGTTAGGAATGTTTCATATTTGAGTTTAATGATGGGAAGGAAAATGACATTTGAAATGTAGTCACACTAAAATTTGGACGTCTTTCTGGAGAATTTTATCGAGACATTCCAACAATATAGACTTTAAAAAATAATTGCATCAATAATCTGGAAAAGGAAGAAATTTGTAGACTTCAGATGAAAAATCATCAAGAGGCATGAAGAGATAAGAGGTTGCCCTGCCCGTACCTGTGTCAACTTCAGGTAAAAGTTGTTCAGTCTCCATCATCTCACACATTTCTGTATGTTCTTGATCTACATCTGAATGTTTGCAAAGACTGCAAATATATTCTTTTAAATGAATATCCAGTTCATTGTCAGAAGGCTTATCACATCCTATATGTATCCACCTGCAGGGAATAGTAGGTTTAGAATTCAGATTAATGTGTTAATTTCTTCTGCTAATATACATTTTCAGTGGTGGTGGGGAAGTATTTTCAAAATTTTGGACCATTTCAAATTAGGCTTTTTAATATTTATTGTTTTACTTGAATAACTGGTGTAATATGCTGTACTCACTAATGAAGAGGAAGAGTAAAGGTACTCCTTGACTTATGACCACAATTGAGCCCAAGATTTCTGATGCTAAATGAGACATTGGTTAAGTGATTTTGTCCCATGTTGTGACCTTTCTTGCCACAGTTGTTAAGTGAATCACTTCACATATTAAGTTAGTAACATTGTTGTTAAGTGAATCTGACTTCACAATTGACTGCTTGTCAGAAGGTCGCAAAAGGTGATCACATGACTTAGACACAGCAACTGTCATAATTGTGAGTCAGTTGTCAAGCATCCAAATGTAAATCACACAACCATGGGGATTTTGCCATGGTTGTAAGTGTAAAAATGGTCATAAGTGACTTTTTCAGTGCCATTGTAAATTTGAATGTTCACTAAACAAACTTGTTGTAAGTTGAGGACTACCTGTGTTCTGTGCACTTATATATAATTTATTAACAAGAAATAAGTTCCATTATAAATGGTAACAAGCCAACCACACTTCTTAGTCAAACTTTTATAGGATATGATATAGGATATGATTTTACAGAAGTTGGTGAGAGTTTAAGCACTGAGTCTCATGGCCAATTAGTATCAGTTATTGTGCATATTACTATTCTGTTAGATAGTGGATACAACAGGTTAAGTACCAAAGAAAAGTAATATTGATGTATTCTTCTTGAAATGATTTTAAAATAATTAACAACAAGCAGAGGACTAAATTAAGGTAGAATTAAAAACACACTTCTCACCTTTTACACATATGACAATGCAACCTTTCTTTTTGCAAGTTTGGATAGGGGGATTTTTCGCAGAAAGGGCAAGGCAGGTTATCTTGTTGACGATAACAACTGTCACACATAAGGCAGTTATGATGCCATTGGCTACTGATCCGTGTGCCACATTCTGCACATACCCTGCAGTTCTGAAAGTCCAAAAAATGAGGGGTTCTTTTTAGCCATTCTATTTTATGGTATCAAAACATCAATTAATTGAGAAACTTCAATCAACTAATAACGCCATCTACATAGAACATTTTTAAATTGCCCCATTCAGCAATTTATACCTTCTGTTAAAGTTTATTAATACAACTATTTATGTGTCACCTGTTCAAAAGATGGCTGGGCAGTTTGCAATGCAGCATAATAGTAGTAAATAACAAACAATAATTAAAAATGTAAATAAAATTTCATTCCGCCATTTGAGCAGCAGCAGCTCTCCCTAGAAAAGGCCCTGCAGAAGAACATCAGTCCTGCAGACTTCCGAATATTACTCTTAAAACACAACTTGCACTTCAATGTCACATAAGCTCTACATTTAGGGAACTGAATTTAAACTTACTTTGCACTTCCACCCATTTGTTGGTACAGAATCCATAACTGGCTGCAAACAAAAAGTATGATACCCTTTGTCACATGTATCGCAGACAAGCATTTTGTTGTCATCTCCAGACTGCCTAAGGGAAAGATCCATAATTTAAGTTATATTGGATGCAAAGATAAAATAATTTTAACTTAGAAGCAAGGCAGAGGAATATAAACAGCGAGAGACAATAAGAAGACTAATGAAATGCTAAAGTCTCAATAAAACACAATGTCTATGATCAATGCCATGGTATCAACTCTTTTCTAATGGATATACCATTTCATCTTTAAGTGTAAGAAATAATGCACATTCCTAAAGCATATTATATCCATGATGCATGGGAGTACATGGCCTCACAAATATTAAGGAATAAATACAGCAATTTTATGTTATCAGGTCTTCTCAGAATCTAATAATATGAAGCAAGATTTAAAAAGTAATATCAAATTCAACAGTGGTTAAAGAAATTATGGAGTATTATAAAGCACTTGTCTTGATTCTGAAACTTATAAGGACACAATGAGTAGCGGATACAGTGTGTAGCAAACACACTGTGAAAAGTTGGAGATGTATCTTGTTTTATATTAAATTCAGCATTTTATCTAAAACCACACTAGGGATTTCTAACTCTATTGAAAAACATGTCCAAAAGATTGTTTTCTCCATTCTTCATAGATCACACAGACCACATCTAGGGAAGATTATTTTAGAAGAGAAACCATCACAAGAAGCAAAAATGGTGGAAAAAAATCAAAATTTCTAGGAGCAAATCTATTTAGGTTATGTAGTAAAGCAAATATAGTAAAGCAAGTGTCATTTGTTGATAATGTTTAGAATAACCTATCTTCCAATGCACTCAACAGAAAAAAAAATCATAGGTTTTACTTCATCTTTTCATAACACTACAGGTAAGCCTCGCTAACCAATTGCCTTATTTAATAATTGTTTCAAGTTACAATGGTGTAAAAATATGTGACCATTGCAATGTCCCATAATCAGGGGATCAGCTTTGTGTGTTTTCTAACTGATTAGCAATAATCAGAGTTAATGGAGAACATGAAAGTAAAATTGTACATCATGATCATGTGATATTCCAGCTAACAATATATTCACTAATGACAAATGATAGAAGTGAAGACATGAGCTATCAAGATGACATGATTTTCCACTTAGTGACTGCAGGATTTAGTTAAGGAGTTTCTAGTCCCAAAAAGTGGCCACTAAGAAGGACTACCTATACACAATAATTTTAAATGGGGGACCAGTGCTTTAACACTTTATATTCCAGTTTTGCTTACTTGCAGTTCTGGCACACTTTACAATCAGGGCACTGCCAACCTGCCCGTTTGATAGGTGTCACTTGTATATCCAGGCACATTCCATGGTAATGCTGGCCACAGGTTGTACAAAAAAGTTGATCTAACAGGTCACCTGGGCTGTCACACACTGCACAGTTAGCTTCTTCCTTGGCTACAAATTAATATATGAATTCTGTGTTATTTTATATGGAAAATAACCTTCAAAAGATGGAACAGCTAGATATATATTTTTTAATTTTATAAATTTTATTCAGGTGTTAAATAAGGATTATGCAAGCCTAATCCTTATTTAACCGTAACCCCTAACCCTAACTCTAACGTATGAAAAATATACCCAGAAAATAAAACATTTAATGTCCACATAAGTCTGTTATTATATACAGATCATAGTCTTTAAATTTAAACTGGTACTAGAGAAATTATTGCCATTACTTAAAAAGAAAAGTGTAGTAGGAACAGCCATTTATATTTCAAGAAAGATGCTGTAAGATGAGAAAGCAGAACAAATTGATCTTAAATTAGCTGATAATAAGGCAATCTGACTTCTGTCATTTCTCAACATTTAATTTGAGCAGCTACTAGATAGGAAAGAGGAAAAATTAATTTTGCACCATCTCCTTGCCTATAATCCTTCATCCCATCATAGCTCTTGCAAAAACCCACCCACATTGGGCAGATATATCTATTCCAATTCATTTTATTTTTAATTTATTCCTTCGATTTATATAGATGCCTATTGCACAACAAATTAAACATTTTAAAAAAAATCAATAATATGAAAACAACAGCCAAGGAGCCAAACCAATCTGTGCAAATAATATCCAATCAAACCCATAGAGATTTGAAATAACTAAACAAACATCTGATTAGGAGGCTCTATTACATATTTTCAGCATTATTTAATATGGCTACTTACATCTTTGCGGAGCCTGGTCGATGTGATCTGGGCAAAGAAGGGAAAAGTTATTAAAATCCTGAAATGTGCCTGCTCCAGCAGCACATGGGTAATGATATATGTGGGTGCATTTCTCTTCACAGCATTTGATAGTGGCTCCAAGGTGCTTGCAGTATGCACATCGCTGAAACACAAAACACAGGCCAGTCAGTATTGCTTGAGTTTACAGAATGTTTATATTTTGCTTTCTCCCCTAAATTAATTCCTTCTTTGAAATGACTGAAGACACTGAAATTTGTCATATAGGTTTCTAAAATTTATAGCTGGCTACTGGAATTTGGATTGCCTATTTCCAAATTCATTGTTTATTTTTTATAGCAACTGGAATGAACACTTTGTTCATATCATAAATTGGCCACTCAGCAGGCACAACGATAAACAAGTAAAAGCCATATTTTAAAATCATCATTATTTCAGTAAATGGATTGAATTCAACCCATACGTTAATAAATAGAAATTTCTTTTTCCCCTTTTAATATTCTTCCTGTATTTTCAAATGCTTTCTACTTTGAGATTAAAATGTATGTTTTTCTCCCACTCAGAAACAACAAATGCTGATCATCAATTAAGCCACTGCAATACCCTATTATTATTCATTAGACCTACAGCTCATTTCATTAACTAAATTCTTACTGCCTTAGATCTAATCACAGACCTGATTTTGTTTATGTAGTCATATAATCATGTAAAAGAAAATATAAAAGCACAGAGCAGAATTTTTGTTGTGTCCTGACCAGTGCCAGGAAAGTCTCTACTGAGAGATTAATAATTTGATATTTTCCATTATGCTTTTTAAGTCACATGACAAGCCCTATACTTTGATATTTTTATATATACAACTAGTCTTGTAACCAGTGATTTTATAAATAAGTTAAACCCAGAAATGATAATAGCCTGAAGAAACCTGAGAAAGGTGGAAAAGAATTTATAGTGCCAAGTAAAGAAGTATGGGTAGAGACTGAAAATTTAACTGTATTTAATCTTTATAATTCCAATAGTGTAATTATGCTAGTAATGAAAAGCATTTCACTTAATAAACCAGGTAGTATGTGTGTAATCAGAACTAAAAATATAAAAGTATTAAAGCTACCAATATTTACAGAATTCATTTAGAAAGGATATAATATGCTCAGGAGGCTTTGGAAACAGCTGCTAAGAATAAGATCTCATTTCTTTCTCCACAGCAAAAACATTCGTATACAAGAAATAAGAAGTAATGATTCAAAAGACTTGGGTATATTGTTTTATATCAATTTGACTACTAAAAAGTACATGAATAAAATGTTTTTAAAACTGTTACATAAAAAATCCTGCCATTTTTGAGTCACATAAAAGTTTCATATGGGCTTTTTAAAAAAACAAATCGCCTATAATTCACAACATATATCATATAAAGCATGTGACCAGTTTGGCCTATTGCTTAAGGTACCATGCTAGAAACTAGGAGACTGTGGGTTCAAGTCCACCTTAGACATGAAAGCTTAGGGCCAGTCACTCTCTCTCTCACCCCAACCCATATCACAGAGTTGTTGTTGGGAGAGGAGGAAATAGGAAGAAAAAAGTATGTCTGATATATTCGCAGCCTTGAATTGTTTGTACAAACAATAAAGGTGGGGTAAAGGTAAAGGTTCCCCTCGCATATATATGCTAGTCATTCCCGGCTCTAGTGAGCAGTGCTCATCTCCGTTTCAAAGCCGAAGAGCCAGCACTGTCCGAAGATGTCTCCATGGTCATGTGGCTGGCATGACTAAACACCAAAGGCACACGGAACACTGTTACCTTCCCATCAAAGGTGGTTCCTATTTTTCTACTTGCATTTTTATGTGTTTTCGAACTGCTAGGTTGGCAGAAGAAAGGTGGGGTACAAATAAATAAATAAAAGCAGTGTTTTTCAACCTTGGCAACTTTAAGATGGATGGACTTCAACTTCCAGGATTCCCAAGCCAGTATGCTGAGTGGGGGATTTATGGTACTGAAGTCCACGCATCTCTATGTCAAGCCAGTACATTTCAAAGCAACGCATGGTGGTGCAGTGGTTAAAATGCAGTATTGAAGGCAAACTCTGCCCACAGTCTGGAGTTTGATTACAACAGGGCTCAAGGTTGACTCAGGTGCCCATCCTTCCAAGGTTGGTAAAATGACGACTCAGACTGTTGGGGGCAAATAATGCTTCTATATTGTAAAGTGCCCAGACTATGCTGTAAAGCATCATTGGATGGTAAATAAGCCTAAATGCTATTGCAATGCTATTAAAACTAGGTAATGATATTAGAACTAGATGATGTAGGACAGATAAGAAGTGGGGAGTTCAGATTCAAGTCTCCCTCTCACTACAGAAACCCAATGGCTGTCTTTGGACTAATTACTCTCTTTTAGCCCCTGGCCAAATTTCAATTCCCCTCAATCATGGAAGTTCCCTTAGGGAGTTTGGGCCAGCTCCTCTTTCTTAACTCAAGAGCAAGGAAGTGTAGTAGTTAAGGGGCTGGGTAAAGAATAGAAAGACTCTGGTTCACCTCACAGCTTCAATTGTTTACTAAGTGTCTCTGAGTTAAATACTCATTCTCCTGCTCCATCCTTCTTGGAGGCATTTGATTAGCCACTGTTGATTCTCTATTAGTATGATCTGATCTACTAGAGGTCCTCTTATACTGCAAATATTTCAACACATAATTTTTATGCCTATGTATAAGTTTTGGTGCATTCTTATCAAATGATGAGCAAGCCTAATATTAAGAAGATAAAATCCTGACACAGTATGATTAAAGAAATCACAACAAATACCGGTAAGATAGAAAAATTACGAGATTGATGCTATTTTGATTCGTATTTTTCTTGTGTGTCTTCCTTACCACTTTTCTGAGTTATTCATGATCTGGAATTTTAATCAGTCCAATTACTCCAAACAAAAACAAAGTGGAGAGTGGAGTAAAAAAACAGAGGCGCCCTCCCCTCTCCTTCTTCCCAAGCCTCAACCTTCATTCCCATGTAGCTACAAAGGAGGAGGTTGCTAGGAGATAACAGATTCCTTTCATTAGGCAAAACTCACACATTTGCTAGAGTGGAAAGTCATATTGAACAGAGCAGAATGATTATGTTTTAATTACTAAACGTGTTTCTGACATTGTAGCCACACATAGTGATTTACGCTTTCTATATGGAACAGTCTAGGAAAAATTTCCTTTGTCCTTCTGTGATAACTAACATTGGCCCTTACCTGAACATTTCTTTTCTGTACTAAAGGTGGGAGGGGCTACAACAGCATTTAGTCACAGCCTGATTGGTCCAGAGACTGAGGGATTTTTCTTAAGTATCCTCCTTTCCCTCTCGGCTCCCAATTTCACGAGGTCGAATGGAGAAGCTGACAGCATTATGTAAGGAAACAACACCACACATACAGAGAAAAGACATCGACCACTCCGACCCCATCTGATCAACCATGGGCAGGAAGTAGCGTTCAGGTAAGGACCAAGGTTCTTTTTCCGGTAGTTTTGGCGGGAGGGGCTCCAACAGGGACATACCCAAGCTAAGTCCCAGGGCGGGCCGTTGAATCCGGAGGAGGGGGGATTGCCACCTGTTGGAGCACCTGACGGCCAAAGGCCGTGTCCACCGAAGCGAAACGATCGAAGCAATAGTGTCGAATAAAGGGGGAAGGTGAGGCCCAGTGGCCACCCTACAAATATCTTCCAGCGGAGCCCTGGTAGCCCATGCAACTGTGGTAGCCGTGGTTCTAGTGGAGTGGGCAGTAATGCCCTGCGGTGGGACCTGGTGTACTGCCTGATAGGCCTCCATGATGGCCTGTCACAGCCACCTGCCTATGGTAGTCGAAGACACCCTAGCACCTAGTGTGCAAGGTTGGAAGGACAGGAACAGGGCCTCTGAATGCCTGATAGGAGATGTACACCTCAGATAAATGCATAGGGCGTGGCGGACATCTAGGCGGTGCCAGTGGCCCTCCCTCTCATGGGAAGGGGAAGGACAGAAGTTTGGAAGAACAACCTCCTGCGATCTATGGAACAGGGAGTTAACCTTTGGAAGAAAAGCCTCAGGACAATCCTGTCTCGGTGGAATTGGCACAAATCCTCCTTGGATGACAAGGCGCCCAATTCGAAAATCCATCTAGCCGAGGTGACGGCGACAAGGAAGATCACCTTCAGGGTTAGGAACCTAAGGTATATGGTCCTCAATGGTTCGAAGGGAGCCCCAGTAAGGGCTTTAAGAACCAGTGAGAGATCCCACATGGGGAACCTGTGTACAGGAGGAGGACATAGGTTTGCCGCCCCTTTGAGGAAATGCTTCACCAATTACCCTCTCCTGCTAAGACCAAAGAGAGGGCAGCCGTCTGTCTCCATAGAGTGTTATGAGAGAGGCCACGGTCCAGACCGTGTTGTAAAAATTCGAGGACCTGGGCGACCGAGGCTGAAGCCAGGGAAATGTGGAACCTCCCGCACCAGGACACGAAAGTCGACCACGTGGAATTATAAATTTGAGTGGTTGACGGGTACCTTGCTGCCTCGATGGTGGAGATAACCTTGGCGGACAGGCTAGCATCCCTCAGGAGGCGCCACTCAAGTGCCAGGTGGTCAGCTGGAGCCACTGGGGCTCCAGATGAACCAGGATCCCCGGGCACAGGGTGACTTCCTCCCGGAGAATTCTCCAATGTGGAGAGATGGATAGTTGAACTATGTCCGCGAACCAAGGTCGCCTCGGCCAAAATGGGGCCACCAGGATGATGTGGGCCCCTTCAAACACTATTTTCCTCAGGGTTCCCTGGATGAGGGGAAAGGGAGGGAAAGCATAAAGGAGACCGGGGGGGCACGGGCTCCTGAGAGCGTCCGTGCCCTCCGCATTGCATGCAGGAAAGCGGGAGAATCAGGGAAGTTGGGCCTTGGTCAGGCTGGCGAACAAGTCCTCCAGCGGATCTCCAAAGAGGAGGCAGATCTTGTGAAATACATCTGGAGCCAGCTGCCACTCAACGTGATCTACTGTCATCTGGCTCAACCAGTCAGCTTGGTGATTGGCAACGCCCAAGATATGCTCTAACGTGATGGACGCCAAGCTCCTTTCCACCCATAAGCCGAGCTTCTTGCCACAGGCTTTTGGAATGAGTCCCCCCTTGATGATTTA